GGGAGAGAGAGAGAGAGAGAGAGAGAGAGAGAGAGAGAGAGTGTGTGTGTGTGTGTGTGTGTGCACATGTACATGCACATGACTAGTGATTATCAACGAAAAGCTCACACAGCTTTTTCAATTGCTGGCAAATAGACGTTTGCAACACTACAATGAAACTGGTTTCAATTCATGTCCTCGTGCAAAAAAAAAAAAAAACAAAATTGTACAAAAATGTCACCACTTTTGTCTTTTTTTAAGTACACCTTAGAACTAAACTGAAGTTCTTTGAATTCTAAAATTACCAACTTTCGTGCTAGAGTCATACAACAATGATGCCGTCTAATACATAATCAAAGCATGACCTTCAATTATGCACTTCTTTTTAAGTTGATCAGTTTTCCAATGTGTTTTAAATAGGCAGTAAGATAATACCTGGAAGCTTATGAGGCCCCTGGGAGTCTGTGTCTGCATTAAGACCTGGGAGAAGTTGACATTCACTCTGTGTGTAAATGCGAGTTCCCTGGAGAAGAACATAACCCACTGTCTGAAGCAGCAACTGGTGTGACAGCAAGCTCAGGACTACGTTTCTCAATGGCACCCTGGCAGTTGAGGAAACAAGAAATTTAACATGAAATTTAATCATGGGATGAAGTATTATAGTTGTTTTTGAAAATCTTTTATAATAAAGACAAAAGGTAAATGCAATCTTCCTGTTGTTTGTAAAAAAAAAAAAAAATCATGCTGTCCTGACACAAACATTGCATGCACAATGTATTTGCATTAGCTGGATTTATCATCATACCACAGTACTAAGATGAAATAGATATAATACAATTTGCAACACAGACAGACTGCTGAAAAAATAACTTGAATGGATTGCAGATATTATGGAACTCTTAAACTATGCACTTTAACAGAAACTGAAATCATTCATAACTATAATCCTTTTTCTCCTTTCAAAAGTGGCCAGAAATGAATAGTTGGTATTGGTTAAACTAGATATTTACAAATCAGCTATCTATTTCATTAATTATACTTTATATCTTACTGAAAGAAGTTTCTAAATGAAAACTACACATTTATTCAATATTTGCATTTTTTGCCATTTGCTATACACATTAGTATATGTGACCTGAACTATATGAAAAATTTGTAACGTCAACATGTTCATAACGTTGCTTGACATTGATGTCACAATGGAAGAAAATATTACCTATCAAAAAAAATGTGAACGTGTAATTTCCTAGTCAAGGCTTAACCTGTGTAAATCAGTGCATACAAATCATTGATCGTCAAGATTTAAAATTTGTCCTCACATAACTAAACATTTTGGCTATCTGTGGAAGACCAACTGTGGAAATTTCTAGGACAATTCACATTGGTCTCTATATAACCATATTAGCTACATTACCTCAGGAAAGAGGTAAATCACCTAAAATAATTATCAAATCAAGCCAGCTGAAGTGAATATATGGACAGACAACCTTTTACATTGTAAACATGTAAGAGTGACAAAGTAATACAGTCAAAAACAAATTCTGGTCCCTGATGCCCAGCACCAAATTTCTACAATAAGTAAGGGTCTGAACTCATTGAAAGAAATATTAAAATCTAATCTGGCTTGTTTGCGACTATATCTAAGTCCAATGAATTATCAATTTTTCATTAATAAAAAGTAACACAGTTCTACTTTTCTACACCTACCACAAAAGAGCCCCTACCTCATTGCAATATGCTCAGGGTTCAAACTATTCTCACACCCTGGAGGATACAGCAAGAACACGTATGACTTGTCATCATCTACAGCACTCTGTGTGGACAGACACGCCTGCTGACTGTCCAGTAGAAACACCTGCCGGGCCAGCTGCCTCAGTCTCTCACACTGGGCTGGGGTGCTGTCCTTTCTTGCTGCCACCTTCACCTGGCCTATGTCCCCATAGAAGTTATCAGAGCTGGCCTCAAATAGCACCATTAGCTGTTTCAGGCTGTACATGGTCACATCAAATGCTCTCAGTAAGGAGGTGGTGGCAATGTGCCACATGGGTTCAGTGAAGAGGGGGCCACCACTTAGTAATATGTGCCTAGAAGAGGATATAATGATGATGTAGCTTGAAGGGCATAGCTATATTGATATGTAGCAAAAAGGGAATAATAGCCTTTTTTAATAAAGGGATCAATACAAAAGAATAGCTATAATGCACATTAAGCGTACAGATATTCATTTGGCCTAAGTCAAGTATAAATAGTGTGGTCCTGAAAACATTCTTGAAACAATATTTTTTCGATTCTCAAACTAAATAGAGTATTGTTTAATACATTCTAGAAAAGTGTTAATTGTACTGTTTCGCAAAACATTTTTCAGTCGCATTTATTCTTGATCTTTGCCCTACTCTGCAACAACCTTGAATCATTAAGTAGAGTAGCCAATGTTTGATTGTGCCTACCTTGTGCAAGCACAGCCCAGCCTTGAAATGGTCTCTACTGACTGGCTGATACACTCTATCAACACATCCAACATCTGCTTCAACAGGAATTCCAAGCTTGGTGTGGTTTCCGGGGATGCTGAAAATGAGAGGGAATAAGTAAGTACATGAGGTGCTTTTACATCTTTCTCCCATTTAAATAGTTATGCAATACATCTTTCTTTTTATTTTCTTTAGTTCCATATATTCGTGGTTAACAGTTCATTTATTATCTATTTGACAGATATGTGTCTGCTACCTGACGTACTCAGACAAAGTGAGGTTAACTTACTACTTTAACCACATCAAACACTGAATACAATTTGAAAACACAAAAACACATAGATATTAATGATAACAATAACAGATCCACTATTCTAGAATTTAAATCCATGTCAGAGACATACAACTGGTTAATGTAAGATAGTGAAGATTATTAGAATTAACATTTTGATAAGTAAAAGAAAAGATACATTTAGAAGCAGCATATCTGAAGTCATATTTATTGGAATTAAAGAAGTTATTTATTCTAACCTGTAAACTGTACTATGAGTTCCACCACCAAGTCTGTGCACAGTCCACAGCACTGCTTGAAGTTGGTAGCTGTGGTCTCCCAGAAGCTCCTGTACTGCCCACCTTTCCTCAGCCAGCCTTGTAACATGGGCAGCAGAAGGTGGTTGACACAGTGGGTGCTGAACTCACAACCTGCAAATGCAATATACAGTTCCATTACACATGGAAGAGGGTTAAAACAACTGTGATCATAACCAAGAATTTAACCACATAAAAGAGTTGAATATCAGGCCGACACAGTGGGTCCACGAATTTCATTTACACTGTATTTTATCACAATCGTGCAGACAGATATTTGGTTTGCTGCATTCACTTCAGTGAGAGATCGCAATTAGCAAAAGTTAACAACTTCAAAGAAGAAAAATGTTGATGCTGCACAGAACTAAGCAAGAGTTATTTCAACATTTGTTTTAAGAGCTATCTGACATTGATAAAACTTAGCAATTCCTCTATTTAATCTATTCTTTACTGCTTAGTGGCAAATAAAAAAAAAGAAATAAAAAAGCAATCTTACTTTACCACACAGTGTAAGCATAATATTCTACATGGAAAAATTTCAATGATGATTAACTTACCAGGAGTCTTAGAAGCATCCCGCAGTAAATCAAACAAAGTCTCAAGTGTCTGTGGCTGGTAGTTCTTGGGGCATGCAGACACAGCATTGGTAAGGCCCTCCAATACCAGGAACCAGACATGAAGCAGCCCAGTATGGTTATCCATTGTTTCCAGGGCAACAGGTATGTAATCCATAGAAGGGGAAGGAATGGAATGGGTCACATTTGGATACCTGACAGGTTCTTCATCTGGTTCACTATCACTATTTGGGCATGGTTTATGTGGCTGGCCATGGGGAAGACTATACCCTGAGGAACTGTCACTGTCATTGACTAATTCTAATTCTTTGTTACAAACATAGTCTCCTTCTCCTTCTCCTTTGCACTGATCACCATCCTTTTTATCTGTCTCAATTTCTGTGTCAGTGGATTTCACCACTTCCTCACCTTTAGAAGGCTTAACTAATTCAGTTTGTGTTGAAGCAGTGCACTGTTCCTGGGTATCTCTTAATTTGGTTGGCGTGAATAAATCTAGATCTCTTTCATACTCTTGCTCTAGTGTGGAACTGGGTGAATGCACTTGTTGTTTGTGAGACAAGGAATCAAAATATCTCTGGAAAGCTTTGAAATCCATGTCTGGAATGACTGGGTCTATGGATTGTGGATTGGGATTTAACTGGATTCTGACAGTAAAATAAAAATATGTTAAATCACACTTGTCATCTGCATTATTGCTATTGTCATCTGCACCATTTTGCTAATTACTCAAATGTGTTATAAAATGGACACAGAAAAAGTTACATGTATCAGTCATTTAGCACAGAAATAAAGAAAGAAATAAAGAAAGAAAAGACTGGGAAAAATCTTGCTGCTAAGGCTGAATAAAAGACAATGGGTTGTGGGGAAAGTGGTTACAGGCCATATTTTTAACTGTCAATGACAGTAAAGAAAATTTAAAAGATTAAAAATGTCTTGAATCTATTCTTGACCTGCTCTTATTAGACCAAGTTGATACTATGGCCAAACTAAAATGAAATATTTCATATTGTTAATTACCTATGTGCCCCACTGAAGACTGGACAGGCAGGCATTGTCCACATAGAAGATAACAGAGCGCAGCACCTCTTCAGATAGCGTAGAGCAGGAAGAACTAAGTTCTCTGCATCAGGTACAGACATCCCCACCTCAATGTCACTGTCAGAGTCCGAGTCTGCTATGTCTTCAAACTCTCCTAAAATGTCGAAAATATCCAGTCACCACACAGTCTTTGCTGCTGACTTATTCATACATGTTATCTAAATAATGTACATGTTACCTAAATAATGTAACAAATTACAATATAGATTCATAGATAAACTGATAAACGTGAATGTGGGAATTGATGGCAAATAAAAGATTAATTAAAATTTATTTACCTGGTCCTCGGACATATTTGAGAAGACATAATATACAGTCTACAGCGGCATGAGCAAACACCCAAACATTGTCAGTGTCCAGAAATACTTCAAACACATCCAACACTGCGGAGACATGTCTTTGACGAGCTTCATTGATCTCTTCATTCACTGTGTATTCTATCTTGACAGCCCTCAGTGCCCCAAACAGTGGTCTCCAGCCTGATTTGATATCTGATGCACAGGCTTCAACTAGCTCACATATAGAGCAAATTATCTGGAAAGAAGATGGACATTAAATTTACATGTCAAAACGTTAATGCTACATGATATGGAAAAATGCAAATGATGCAGAAAACCACCGAATCTCCTCACAGATAAATATATTTCTATTTATTTGAGTTAAGCAAATTAGAATGGAATTATTTTCTCCAAGGGGGAGACACTTTAGATTACATTACTTGCACTATTTGTATGAATTGTGGGTAATTTTCAATAGTAGATCATTCTACCAGTTAGAGAAGTGGGCAGCTAAATTTTCACTGGTGATATATATGTGCAGTAGGAGGGCAAGTCACTGAAAAAAATTTAAAGATAGTGCACTCCCATTCAGTATCCCAGAAGGATTAAAATCTCAGGTCACTGCCAAGTTAATATTAACATTAGAAGTCCAGTCCATGGTTCTTCAACTAAGGCAAAGAAGATTAAGAAAGAATTGTCTACCAAGTGGTGCAATGAAAAAACTAAAATTCATCTTAAATTCAACCCTGATTTGGGTGAGCAATGAATCCAAGTAAACTAGGCTATAGATTATGAAAAGCCAGATTATGCCAGGGAACGTGTACTTTCATTTTCTGAAAAGTTGAAGAAAAGAAATGAGTTAGTAAAAAATTCCAGATACCAGTAAAGGTGGGTAGGGCACCATCCACCAATATGAGATCATTTCAATGACTATGTTGCTTCTGAAGATGGAAAATAGATTAATAGACTAAAAAATAAGGCTGTGAAAAAGTGGAAACTAGTCCAGTCTAAATCAAAAGAAGATCATGTTTCGAATAATTTTCTCCACAACACCAGTTCACACCATCAGAGTGGGCAAAGTTTGAGAATGCAGTGGCCAGTTTGTGTCACCACACTTGGCAAGGTGTGTACTGACCTAACTTTATCCCCAGAGGAGTGGGATACTTAGTGTCAAAATCTGGAGAGGGCACTTGGGCTGTTTGGAGATAACCAAGTTCTGGTCCTGCATGGTCGAGGCCTCCACAACAACTCTGCTGCAGATGACGCTGTTAGGTGCACTATATAAACACCTTGCACATAGTGCCAGAAGTCAGAAAGGACCGACTGAACCACTGCCATGTTTCAGTGGATCAATGGAAATAGTGAAAACTTGGTTGGGTAACTTTCCCAATACATATTTTAAGGTAACTGGAATATAATGGCTCTTTGACGAGAACAAGAATGCTGGAGTCTTGAAGATATTAAGGATGCTACCAAATGACAGAATGCTTCTTGAAACAGACGCACCGTACTTTGCATTTCCAGGATATTAAAGCTCCACACCAGGTTTTCTGAAGCATGTGAGCCCAGATTGTGGCCTATATACAGAGTGAGTAGTGGAGTCACATTCTCCAGACAACCACTGAGAATGCTTGCCACCAGAAACATTGGGCAGTTTGTCAAATTTGCAAGTAAGAGTGAAAGTTGGTGGGGCACCATCCCTCAATATGAGACCATTCATTGACTCTGAAGACCAAAAAAGAATCAACAGAGCAAAAAATAGGCCTCTTGTTTCAAAAACTTTTTCATCTAGTGGTACAGGTCCCATATTTAGTACCCAGTCCCTTTTTTGCAGCTGGCAGTGGTGGTTTTCCTAACCAGCTCCAGGACCAGTCTCAGTCATGGCAGCAGCTGCAGTCAGGGCTTACAGAAAAACAAGGAATGGATCATGTTTTGCCCTTTGCCATAAGAGGAGTGAGTGTTTCTTCACCAAAGCACCAGAGAATGCAGCCGGATACTCAAAGACCAAATATCAATGACTCTGTCCAAGATGAGTACAGTTTTGACATGATTTAAACCTACAAAGCATCATTTATTGACAATTATTTTGAATATGAACAAGGCAATAAAGATATTTACATAAATAGCAGACTGAAAGCAATATATAAGCAATTACAAACAATTTAAATTTACTTTGTATTATTTGTCCATTACCTACCTGGTCCTGAACATCTCCATCACACAAATCCAAGCAGAGCAGGTTTTCAAAAGGCTTGCACAAGGCCTCATTGAAGTGGAGGTGCGGCAGCTCTGGATGGGAACCAAGCCTCAATGTGACACAGTCATGGAGACAGGTGACAGCCTTCTTGGCTATTCTTCCTTCACTGTGACATGCAGCCTGCATAAAAAATATTTTTTGTGCAACAATGGAAATCCTGACCACATCATATATTTACCTCAAGACAATTTTAAAACTACAAAACTGGTACCTTATTCACCTTATGGTAAATAACTCCTATACAAATATCTGCACCTCTTGTGCCAAAGCAGTTTGTGGTTGAAACATTATGTAACTAGTATCGGTTGCAACTGTTAGTTTTCACACATACACACCTAACACTATGTAGGAACCCACTGCTACAACCAAGAGAAAAGAGACACTGGGTCTGGTATATCTTCCCCAGAGACATTTTAAATACTAACACTTTCAAACTTAACACATTCATTTTTCAACTGATGATTCTCATCTATTTATTTTATGCATCAAATCCACCTACCTCTACAAAATGGGGTGCCACTCTATTCCAGGCTTTCATAACAGGATACAGTGGCCTGTCACTCTTCAGCACCTCTAACATGACATCCCCCAGTCTGTACAATAACAGGGTAGAGGGGGAGACATCCTCAAGGTGTCTGTTCTTACCAAATAACTGAGAGTGGCTAGAACTGCTCAATGCACCTAAATATTCCACCAATGACTTCATGTTTAGCTTTCTTGCTGCATCATCAAATAATCTGTAAACACAAAAGAGAAAATGAATTATTAACTAAAATAGTCAAAACTTAGGTCATGAAATTTTAAAGTTTTCATCGATAATTTTCCACTAATCATTGAACTGAATTTATGATAGCATATTTATATGTTCCATCTGAATGAAAAGCTACAATGCTCTCTTCTCATTGTCTTTTTCCAATACTTTCCCAATACAGGTTTTTATATGACATAAAAGAGATGATGCTTTGGTTCACTCATAACAATTTATCAATCAATGTTACAAAAATGACACTTATGCAAGGCTGACACTTGCACGACTTTTGGCCCCGATTTTGTCGTGGCAAGTCGTGCCATTTTGGGGCACAAAGTGGGAGGCTCCCGCACTGTTCCCGACTAGTTCACGCATAGTTCCCGACGAGTTCACGGCGAGCTAACAAATAGTTTACAAATGCATGTCCACATTGACACAAACTGGCCCGACAAGTTCACGCATAGTTTACGCACTTCCCGCATTGGCACGACGGGTTTGAGCAATTCGGACGGTGTCGTGCCGACTTGGGCACACAATATATGTGAGCTGTTCGTGAACTATTCGTGGCAGTTCGTAACAGTCGTGGCATGATGTGCACTGCCACGCATCCTCCCGCATCGTCCCGTCGAGTTCACGAACAGTTTGCGCAAAGTTCATTACCCAGTCGCGAAATTTTGTTGTGGCCAAAATTTTGAACATTTCAAAATTCTCGTACCGACATGGCACATAGTCACGACGGGTTTACGCACACTTCAGGCCAGTTTACGACTGGTTTGTGCACTGGCACGACTCGAATCGTGCCAATGTGTGCCACAGAATCGTGCAAGTGTCAGCCTTGCTTTATTCGTACCATTACTAACAAATGCAATAAATTCAAGACAATTTGGTTCATTAAATAGACTGCTACAGTCTGGCATATTTGTAACATATAATAAACAATATGTGAGAGATTTCATAGAATCACCTGTCCACTTGTTGTGACAGAGCACACAGGACTTCAGTGGACTGAGATGTACTGAGAACCGCTCCTCCTGTCATGGCACTGTCCCAGCCAGCAGCCACACCACTCTGTTTGATGATCTCAGCAACACTCTTAGATGAGGGAACACAGATGGCTGCTGGTATCCCTGTGAAAGTTGCTGGGATGATGTCTGGGTCTCTGTTTAATACAATGTTAATGTACATATATATAATTTCACAGGAGCTGTTACAAGGCAATGTACAGCTGACATTCTTGTTGGTCATAATTTCATTCTGAAATGATGATTCTACTGTATTTCACCTTATGCTGCTGCTGAACATTATTAAGTACAAGACTTGCCACAAAGATGTTTTGCTCATATACACAATTACATAGAAAAATGCATTTTCCTTTTACAGTAGCAAATAATGTCTTAATGCTTGTAATAATCTGCTAACCCCAGTGTTTCTGAACCTCCAACTTCTGCAGTAGGTTTAGGCTTCCCCTGGCTACAGCGGGTGAAGTATAAGTGCTCCAACTCAGCAATATGATTACAGCATCTGGAAGATATAACATCCGGCCTTTGTACATGCTGTTAAGCATAATCATTAAACCAAATGTGGAAAAAAAGACATTTCCACTATTACCTTAAAACTTAAAGTAAACAACTTTCTCAAAGCAAAACCATATTTTCTCCAAGACATTCTTAACTTAAATACAACATTCTTCACTCTAAAAATTGAACATGAATATTAAATCAAAAGTAATTCACAATATCTGCATCAATAATGGGGTTTGACCCCAAATTGGCCACTTCAAGGAATTACAGTATAAATGCTGTAACATTTACCTGAACACATGCTTCCAGCAGTCTGAGGCATGACTCCCCATCTCCAATCCCATGGAAAGGATAAGATCCATACTAAGAGCATGGGCCGCATGTAACCTGGGAGGCTTAGGTTTACTAGGATTAGCCTGGGTGGGTTTAGACTCAGTGGACGGGGATTGCTTTGAAGGTCTCTGCTCTTCTTCAAGTACACAAGAAGCCTTGGCCAACAAAGCAAATATCTTCCCACATCTAGACTGCATGCCTGTAGAATGAAATTTGCACAATAGTTAATCATTAACAATTGAAAGTGAACAACATTTGCTATCAAACAAAAAAGTTTTAAGTTATCTGAGCATTTTAGTGCACAGACATCAACTCTAACAAACTACCAATTTTCACCATTGTCAATTTTATTTTTTCATTTTATTTTCTCTCTTTTTTTAAAAATAATCTCTACATTGGGAATCTGGGGGCATAATCACAATATCCTGGTATCTGTTTTTTTTTCCAGATAAATCCAGAAGACTTACACTTTTACGCAATAAAGCTTTTAACCATCTAAGGACAGGGGATATCATGCATACCTAAAGAGCAGGCCAGTCTAGCTGCCCTTTGCAGGCCATCCAAACTCATACATATAGCCTCCCTGGCCTTGAGGGTTTCCTCCTTGGCTCCCTCAGTGCCTAACATCAGGGCAAAACTACTGGTGATACCACAGGAACTCTTCCCAGTCAGCAGTACAGAGAGCACATCTAGGGTGCCCTCCCAGCAGCTGGTCAGGATTCTCTGGGCCAGAAGCATACCTGGAAATTATATAGTCAAGTAGTTTAGTTGAAGTAAATATGTCTTTGGTGTCAAAAATCAGAAGAACATGCTATAGTACACCGACATTTCAGATATTTCTCATGCAATGAACAATAAAGGTCTTTACAATATCACATACACTGCTATGTTCATGTAAAGCAAGTCTCTTGGTCATATCACCATACTACCCTGATATAACATGCAGCTTACCTGCTTCAGTGCTGACATCATGCTTGTCAGCATCAACAACAGTGGTATTACTGCAGCCAGTGAGCAGCTGTCCACCTAGCTTTCTGCTGTGAAGTCCATCCAGGTCTGATTGAAATATATGTAACATCAGGGATGAGAACAAAGAATACTGAATAGAAGGAGCACCTCCCCCCTCCCAATTTCTAGGTTAAATGGAAATTCATCCAAGAGTAAAATTAGAACTATTCTGATTGGAATTTTACCACTGTTCAAACAAAAAGGTACCCAACAAAATGTGGCCTTATGTAAACAAAAATATGCAATAGAATGACCTTGTATTGTTCTTAATCCTCCCTTACCTATGATAAGATTCATGAAAACATTTTCAGAATTGTTTTCTGCCCCAGCCAATTTCATTAAATCAACTTGCAGGACCTGGTTATAAAGCTCTGACAACCAGGAAGGTGACACATACAGCAGCAGGCCTTCTCCAATGATACTTTCCTTGAATTCCTCCTGGAAAGAACAGTGATGACCAAAAATGAAAATGAATGTCACTTCTGCCCGAGATAATTTTTCATGGAATTCTAGAAATCCAAGCTATAAATTTTGTATAATCAATAGGCAGTAATTACTAATTCACTAAAAACAATAAATTAACGATTAATTAAGAATCATTAACAGAAGAATTAATGCATCTATTCTACTATTTAGTAAAATAGGGATAAAAGGCCTTCTGGAATATATTTACATATGAAATGAGTAAGATACTTAGGAATTTTCATGCTTCTTTAATTGAATTTTCATGCTTCTTTAATTAAGTAGCATAACCTATTTTAAGATAATTTCAGAGGCCAATGTCCATGTGAAAGTGACTTTTCCATTACCTCAGACAGTGTTGATGGTACTTGCTTCTCTGAATATTCATAATATTGGCACTGACTCAGTTTTAGGCTAAAGGACAAAGCTGTATATGTTGACACATAGACAGCATCTGCATTGAGTATAGCCACCTCAGCAGAGACACCATTATCAGAATCCACACTCTGCATATTTTGCTGGTCTAAACAAGAAATTGAATTAATAAATAAACAAATTAAACAGACATACAAATAATTAAACTGTAATGCATATGATTTTAAAGGCTGAAGCAACATTTCAATCACAGAAGCAAACAATGCACATCACCTCTACTGTGAGAGATTTACTAAAATTTACTAAAATACAAACATTTTTTTAAGACTCACATAACATATTGACATTTTCTTTCCTCTCTTACATGCTAATAACATAGCAATATCTTCATATTCAAACAAAAAAAATACTAACAAATGTGTCTATTTTGATAACACTGACTATAACAGGGCGTCTTTTAAATTGGTACAATAGAACAATTTCTTTTTAGAAATGCACTCACCAGCACAAAATCTAGATGCAAGATTCAGCAGTGCTTCATCTATCTCATGACCACTGCACATGTCCTTCACAGAGGGCAGAAATTTCATTAGATATTGCATGTAATCTTTGGTACTTTTCCGTTCAATCTGGTCAGAATGACACTGTCGAACTCGGACTTTACTGGAAAGGTTATAGTAACTTTCCTTCGGCAAACTATCAGCATTGGGCATTGTCTCTTGGCTTAGTTTAGACTTATCCTCTGAGTCTTGAAGATCTGTTGTGGAAACTTCTGTGGCTTGAATATCCATTTCTTTAGATCCCTCAGTGTGATTCATGACATCTAAAAATTGATTACTTATTAATATTTTATTACAATTTTTCTAGTTTATATCAAGTCAATCACATCAGTTTTAATTTATTTCAAAAGTTATGTCAATAAATGAATGTAACAAATTGTTTCAATTTTCCAAACAGGAGTTCAAAGTGATCCCATTTTCCACCCTGTAATCTAACCTCTATTATCTCATGTTTCTGCCTTACATGAACATCAAGTATCTTAGTTAAAGATTAGTTTCCAGAAAATGAAGAAAGTCAGAGTGCAATTTTCTGACAAGTTAAAGATACAAAAGATACAGCACTGTATTTAATTTCACAAAAACAATGTGCAAACGATCAAGTAAAATGATTGTATTAAGGGAAATGCTCATTAGGAGACTGAGGTATTAAAAACTAGCATTACCTTGGCCCATTTTTCAAAACTGGAATATTACAAACTAACAAGTATTACCTTGGTCCATCTTCTTATATCTTTCCATCAGTTCTGCAGCCTGCTGTTCCCTGAGTACTTTCCCCTGTGTGATATTCTCCACAGTCTTCAGCAGCATGTCCACATTACTGACAGCTGTGATACAAGTGGCTGAGTCACTACAGTGGCAAGACTCCTGCATGGAATCCACAACACTAGAAATAAACATGTAGAACTATTATTATTTGCTACATGTCATGTCTGAAAAATAGCATTCATAATGTAAATAAATGCTTCAAAAAGTTTAAATTGAAAAATTGCTGGTATTTTAAGGATTTGTCCATGTGATGTTCTTGTGACAAAAAGCACAGGAACCTTGAGTATTTGTGCCACACCTATAAAATAAAGTCGCAACCAATTGCTTAGAGAATAAACATTAATCTTTGACTGTCAAATGAATTCAGATTCACATTTGTCCAATTTGATAGCTTTATGTCCCCCTGAGCAACACTGTCAAACTTAAATCTACTGCTAGATTACTAAGGTTCATTCATGAATTACAGAAAATTTTTAAAAAATCAAAGCAATGGCAATATGGAACAATATCTAGTGTTGAAATAACAGAGTTACATAGGACATGCAAAGAGTAACAAATTTTCATAATGTAAAATGTTCAAAACAATTTCCAGAAGCTCTTCACGTAGACATATAGACATGTAGTCTTAACTCTTTGTACAAAATGTATTTATTTTTTTAAAAATCTGGATGATTTGTATACATTGCCTGGTACTCACAGTTTGATTAAGGACGTATCAGGGCTATGTGTTTTTCTCACTTTGCCAGCAATCTTAGAGTCATCATCTTCTGTAGGACCAGCTAAGGAAATCAGGTGTTCTGGATTGTTCAGTAACTTAAAAAAAAAAGAAATAAAAATATTGCATTTGCACAAAGGCTAGCCTTATAAATAAACAAACTGAAAACACACTGAACAGTAGCACTAACACTATTGCATCCAAAAAGTGTCTGAAAAATAATCTATGCCTACATTTGTATTTGATTAAGAAGAGATACAGCTAAAGATTTTAAATATTTCTATATTTGAGATCAGTTGATTTTACTGTAGATTAGAAATGTGGTTGCCCCCCAATATCACCACCATAAAACACCACCAATGTATTTCCGTTTTTGAACATTATGCAGCAACTTCCTTAAATTTTTCTATTACACATGAAGGGAGCAAATCTTCCAAAACAAAGGAATTTTCCATCCCTTTTCCAACCTTAAAATATACAGTTACTTTTCTGGTTGTCATCTCACCTCCTTCATAGCTTTCAGTGCCTCTAATCTATGCTGTATTGGTGGATACAAAAGGATCCTATGGAACAAAGACTCAAGCACCGGCCTAAGAGATCCAACACTGCCCACTAAGCGGACTAGTTCCACAGATATGCTGATAAAACAAAACATTTTTACAAATTTAGTGATGTACATAAAAGGTTAAGTAGTATCATCTTAATAAGTGGGGTTGATAACACATTTTCCTTTTAAATACAATTTATGAAGCTATTGCTCAGGGAAATTTCTTACTCAAACTCCTTTGTGGCAAAATTGGAACTGGGTTAAGCATTTCCCTGTACTGTACTAGTGCCTCATATTTTTCTAGAAGCTATCAAAAGCCCTTTACCTGTAGACAGTTTTAGCAGATGGTCCCAATAAGGCAGGTGCAGTTTGAGAGCACCCGGAGCCACGCCCAACCTCATCCTGGGACCCAGTCTTTTGAGATGTTATACTCTTGTCAAGCTTGGGATTGCCTATGATTACTATTAGTGTGGGGCACAGGTCCTGCCTAGAATAAAATAATGCCATGTTTAATGATATGTCAAGATGTAAAAATTACTGTCCCTCCCTTTCTAATCAATAAAAAACAAACAAGTTAAATCACAGTTATGATTTATTTTCTTATACATACCTAAATATTTTATGAGACCATGGTGATATATGGATTTATTTGGTTTTAGAGTTTTTTTTTTTGTAAAATGCTAGTACTGTTACTCATTATGTATGTCAAATAATTCACTGCCACCTTCTCACGATATATGCTTTTAACCCCTCTCATTGGCACTTGAGGTGTTCTGCCTTATATAGCTAGTGACAGCTGTGTATTATCTCACACATATCTAATTTGCTCTTTACTATAAAGGAAGGACAAACAGTAAATAAATCAAAATAATATAAAATATATTAATTTTTGGAAACTGTCTTAAGGCATAACAACAGCTAATGCTGGGGATCTTAGGGAAAAAGCAGAAAAACTGAGGATCCTCAGAAACGTGCACTTCACTACTTGTATGTATATTAATTTATGGATGTGCATAATCTAGGATGCCTTAATTTTAAAGACCTCAACAAAAAAAAGAATAAGATGTTTTCTATAACATGGCAAAAATTCGGAATAAACTCACCACAATAAATCTAGGAATTCCCCCACCTGTCTGATGGAAGACGGAACATTGCTCAAGATGGCGTGAATTCCCTCTAGTATCAGAGGCACAGCATTTCTAGCTTGTGGGCTACTGAAATGTTAAGATATCAATTCCCATGTAATTTTTAAAAATTATGTTAGTAGTTCATTTTTTTCTTTCTATGCCATCTTCTGTTCTGATTCAATTCAATCCCTAATAGCTATCAAAAGTGAACCTGCCAATAAAATATGATATAGGTGAGAACAAACTGAGTATGAGTATTTAGGACAAATCTATCTGGTGCACATGATAGCATATTTTATGTTCAGCCATACAGCCATTTTTTTCACCAAAATCAATGATTAATAACAAAACATATAAGCATCTGGCTGAAATGTCATATTCTAGCAAGAGCTTGGTCAGCTTTCCTGAATGTGAAAATCAATTTTTACATAAATAGTAATGTGGAACCTAAACAATGTTAAAAAGGAAAAAATCACCTGCTACTCTGTGCTAACCTGGTACACAGGTATTTCAAGATGGTCACTATGTCATGTGCTAAATGATCGACAGTATCCTTTTGCCCTAAAGAGGATAAAAATTAAATAAATAAGTATCAATGACACCAATCTGATAACAGACATTATAAAATACATGCATTTAATGAATACATAAAAAGACTGATGTTAGTGAATAATGTTAGTAAGCTTTTAATTAGTTGAAGAGTTGTAGCATGCCTTGTTGACTTGATGAGAGTAAGCTCAAGAAAAGCAAACAAGCAGAGCTGCCTGAAATATGTAATCATCATTTAAAGTCCATTTGAATATAGACAACAATTAAGCTCATTTGCATTTCATCAAACCAAAAGAGTTGTCAAGATCAAACACTATTTTAGACAGCTCTTTATAGAATGCATTTATTTCCAGAGACTAAATGCAAAATATCATGCTAAGAGTTGTGTCAGTGTTTTCTATTAATGTGCAAGCTTCTACAAGCAGATGTTTGTCAAATTGCGACTACCTAAGCGCAGTTAGTGGTAGATAAGCTGTTCATAAACCTGAATGTCATCATCTGGTGAAGCTAGAAAAATGTTAGTAATAAATTACTGAAAACCATACCATTCATTGAGAATTCTGCAATGGCACCTTTTGCCTCTTCCTCAGGCTGGATTAGAAGTACAAGAGTAACACATCAGTCCCATGCTTTTAATATTTGAATCAAACTCCAAAGTAACCCTGAACTCCAATCTTGTGAATTTATATTAATTCCTTACAACAATAATTGACAAAGAGAATCTTCAAAATAAATAAGTGACACTACATCTGATTTCCTTTAGCATCAAAATTACATTAGTCATAAAATTTGCAATTAAAGAATTATCGTTATGCATAAGCCACCACAGTGTTGCACTTATTTAAAAACAACATATACAACACAACAATTTGCATTTAGGTAACTTTTTTTACAACACCCATTATCATATAATTCATTTGTAAGCTAACAAACAAAAGCATGCAAGAATCACAACATGGCAGGTCTATCAAAATGACCATATGTAAAAACACAAAAAGTAAAAGAGATATATCAAGTGATGCTAATAATACCCAACTAGTTAAGACATGAAAGAAAACAAAAATGCACAAAAAACACTGAACAAAAATAACATTGATAAAAAAAAAACATAATTATATAAAAAACACAACTGAAAATTTAATATCAGTTAACATCAGAGAAACATTGAATTTTAAAAAAATGCCATGCACAATCAGAACAGCATATATTGCATGCAACATGTTTGTTACCTTACCCTTTTGACATCAATAGTTTTCAATTTCTCAGCAAAGGAAGAAAGCAACTGAACTAGTGTAGCCTTCACAGCAGGTCTAGCACTAATGTGATTGCCTGAGAATACCTGTATACACACCTGGGATAGAGAGAAGAAAGGAGAAAAGCAGTGAAGGGAGTGTACTATCATAATTGTGATTCATAACAGAGGCCCTTCAAACTCAAGCAACAAAATCAGAACATATCCTCCTATAAAGAAATCACATTTATATACCATCCCAATTTAAATAACAAAGAAACAAAAATGTTTTTTTCCTTGAAAACAATCACATCATGTTCCCTTAACCTCCTATCTAGTCAAGTTGTAAACAAATTTCATGGAACACTTAAAACCTCCACAATCACACAGGAAGGGGGACTGGCAAATGGCTTAATTGCCCCAGCTTCTAGATGTGTACCCCACCCTTGCTGGGTTACCTTCTCTCCCTTCTGACAATCTACATATGACTGACTGTGAACTATTAGTTGTCTCTGATAGTAAACACCTAGGATTTGCGTGAAATAGCACAGGCATGCATCCTGGATCTTTTGTTTGTTATTGGTTAAGTAGGTTATTAAGAATAACTGCAATATAAAGAGTGGAAAGTGAATAAGGTAAATATTATTTTAGATGTCATTTGAACCTACTTTAGAGTATACACACAGAAGAGAAACAAAGGAGCATTTAATGTCATCACAAATCATTTCATGAATAATAAGTCTTTATTCTGTTATAACAATCACATTCAATGCAGAACTTTTTAAAAAAATTCTGACAATGTACATTGTGCAAAATACATATGATCATGTAAAGCTTACAATGACTAAATGAGGGTTAACAGTTCTTCAAACTAAAAAATAATCATCAATGTAAAAAACAATTGTTATTTGTTTCATGAAAAAATATTGTTATTCTTGATTTATAGCATGGGGATATTACCTCTGTAATTCTTGTAATGACTTTTGCATTCATACACCAAGCCGTGGAAAAAGTCATATTCAAAAGAATCTGAAAAAGCAAAAATACATATCTGGCAAAATATTCAATGTTGGCAATCAATGATCTGTTAATAAAATTTGAATAAGAACTGCAGTGGAAAGTGAGCAGAAAGGCATTTGTATAAATAACCACAAACTGTACTGGGGTAGCGCTAGCAATTTTTTTCGCTTAGCCAAATCATCACTTTTTTGTCAATTTGTTATCCAAATAGTGTTAATTTGACTAAAATGAGTTAAATCAAGCCCTTTATGTTTAGCCAGTTTAAGTCAGTTTTAGCATTTGGCTAAATTGGCAAGTGTTAGCGCTACCCCAGCTGTAAAACACCAGATTTAAAATATATCCAATGATTTCAACATTATATTATTCATTGGTTAGTACATAAGCTTTATTCTGTTCTAGATCCATTGCAAGTATGAAACAACAATAAATGCCCAAACATTTTCATAAAACTAACAAAAAAAATGCTTTTTTGTTTGCATAGTACCAACAATACTTTCTTCATGTCATCTTAGTATGCATGGCAGGCCATACTGGTAACAATTATCTATTAGCAGCAAAACAGTCTACATGAAATACATGTGTGTTAGTTGGAATGCTTTTTAGTGTTAACTTAGCGTACCTTCATCACTTCAACTTGTGTGTCTTCGTTCACATTTGGAGCTGAGGCCACGACACGGAGTATCTGCATAGGCAGCCAGTGTTGCTCTTCCTCTTCTTCCAGAGGAGAATGGAACCTGCTGTCCTGCAAGATTTTCTACGTATAAAAAGATAAAAAATGATAATGATAGGATGAGAACTACAATGCCATTTTGAACACTTCAAAACATAGTACACTCACATAAATAATAAGTGGCAATCCAAAGGCAAACACATATTACATATATACATTCATATGACTGCATTTGTATGCATCTGAATAGGAAGGTATTCAGATGCACCCTTTTGAGGACAGACATTATCAAAACTTCTTTTGCTGACTTGTTAAAAACATTTTAGAACTATGCAGTAAATTAATATATAATAAGATTTCTAAAGCAATTAAGGCCTAGGAAACTGATGATGCATTGTTGAAGAAATGATACTGAAATCCAATTCATAGCTCACAGAAAATTTGAGATGATGTCAAATATCAATAACATGTTGTCAAATAATGTGTGGGCCAGAAAACACAAACAAGGCTCTTTAACAGATAAACTATATAATAGGAAACTATATCTGATAGCTCCTTGGGTTATATTCAGCTATGGTTGTACTTTGTAATCACAATGGAAATCATCTGAAAGAACCTCAAGTCTCAGAACTTACCAAAAAATCAAGCAAAATGACATGGGGTTTGGAGAGAGTGAGGTCAGATATTATGGACCATACTGGGGACTATGATGCTGCGTGATAACAGATAAAAATTGAATTCACCATGTTCTGGGTGTCACTTTTGCATTCCTTTCTAAGAAGACATTCCAGGCACACATAGTTTCCTCATAATCAATAAAAAGTTAACCTCACCACCTGTGAATTACATATGGTAAGTTTTCTAGTCTAAAACATCCTCATGCAGTGCTGAAGGCCTCCTTTGAAGCTACCTAAATTGATACTAAAGGCAACAGAACACATGGGCCACAGATAAAGCCCACCATATGGTATATAACTTCACCATTAATTACATTGCTCTCAATCACAAGAAGGCAACATTGACATTATTTTTAAGATCATTAATCAAAGCAGCACTTGGGATGTATGCATCTATCTCCTGCTGCCCACACACCAATACACAATTGTCTCTGAGTGATGACAATAATGAGGCTGCTTATTAAATACAATATAGGAAGCGCAGGATGGAATGAGATAATGTATCTTCTTGCTGGTACAATAACCAGTGATACAGTAATGCAGTGCTCAGATTAGGTTTTACAAAAATGTTTTAGGCTCATTTCCAATCAAGGCTTTTCCCAGCGAACCTTCCAGCCATCATTTGAATGACCACTGGCATCACCAGATGGCCTACGTATATTTTCAAAGACGGCTGAACAGCTTACCAATTTTTTGGAAAAAGATGGCTTGGCTTGTTTCTTAGAGTAATTTGACATACCCAGCTTGTATGATGCATCCCAGTTGAATAATACTACTTTGTAGTGCAAGCTGTTATTCAGTTATGACTTTTAAGTTAAAACTATTACCTAAAGTTTACAAAACACTAAGGCTTCGTTCACATGCAATGTCTATTTTCTAAATTTAACTCTCATCTGATCATTCGGGATTCTACGAGATATGCGTGCGCCTGCGTGGTACTCAATTCTGCGTTCGCTTGTCTTCGTGCTCACACGTGCACTCGATTATTCATCGATTTTTTATAATTTACGTGGTTTTTTAAAGACTGGTCATTCTCTTTTGTGAGAGATTGCTTGACAGACAATCTTTTGTACTAATTGACGCTGGTTTTTTAGCATGTCGTCGGCTCAGACCGGACTGCAAAGCGACTTAGTTGGCGCTATTATTGCTCAGGCTGAGGCAAGCCAGAGTGGCGCAGAGCGGGCTTCAGCAAAGGATGCTGGCTCAGAAAAATCGACTACCACAACCAAATCTAGTGGTAATAGGGGTAAAAGACTAAGAACCCCGAGCTCTGCTTATAGCAAAAGAGCAAAGCTGACAAAGGACGTCAGCTTCACGGACGGTGCAGGCTCCCATGGAAAAAACCTAAATTCCAAGGATGCGATTCCTTCGGAAACTCCGTACACGAGGCAGATTCGGAGTCACGTGACGACCCGAACAACAAATCTAACAAGTCGGCTACACATGATGGCAGCGCCCATGGTCCTAGAAGTAGCCGGAGCTCACGCTCGCATGGAAACTACTCCAAGTCATTCAGTGACCATTCAGTGAGCTCTCGTGAGGTACAAAAAGATATGAACGACATGAAGGAGCAATTGTGTAATATTCAACAGATGCTAGCGTCTCTTACTCCTGTCGTATCGGAACTTAAACGTGCGTACGATGCTAGTATAAATAGCGACCAGGATGGTGAGCCCCCAGAGAAGAGACAGAGGCTTATTTTGTCAGATGATGAGGAATCCCTGTATGAGGAATCTTACTTTCGTTCTACTCCTGCCAATGATGATAGTAATGCTGACAGTGATAGCAGTGACAGTCCTGCTAAGGAAAAACCCTCAGAAACTCAGGTCAGTCAGCCTCAGGGCTTACAATGTTTGAAAAACATTTTGGCTGCAGTGACTAATGATGAAGTTAGAGGCCCGAAAGTTCATGATGATGTTGCTAAAATCATGAACACTGTTTTGTACAAGGGTATGCCTAAGGAAGTTCTGGAGGATATGGTGAAACTTTATCACCCACCTGAGAACTGTACCTACATGACTCAGATCAAATGTAACCAGAGACTGTGGGGAACACTGAGACCTTTAACCAAATATAATGACAAGATAATGCAAAACTGGCAAACCAACATATTCCATGGACTTACACCCTTCCTGGAGATAGCTGATGCTTGTTCTAAACACCTTGAAGGAGAAGGAGATGTGCCTTCTCCTGAAACATTGCTAGCAAAGATGACAGACGGATTCAGCATCCTTGCTGCAGTTGTACATGACATTTCTATGTTTCGCAGAGAACTCGCCAAACCAGACATTAATGAGAAATACAAAGCTTTGGCTTCCCCACAGAATCCTGTCACCAAGGAGCTGTTTGGTGACAATTTGGATGCAAATATGAAGGATATTGAAGAAGGCCTAAAAATCTCTAACAAGGTTCAGAAGAAAATAGCACGCCCTAGACCCACAAATATCTTCTCCAAACCCAGGGTATTTCCTACAAGGGCAACAGCTCGCTATGACAACAAAAAAGCTGGTTCTTTTTTAGGAGGGAAGAACCAGAGAAGTCAACAGAACAACAGGAAAAACTGGACAGGGAAAAAGTTCCAGAAGAAAGAGTATTAGGAAATACTCATGTAAGTCAACCTTTTGTTGCTGGTAATATAAAACAGTCTCTTCTTGAATGGCAGAAGTTGACTTCAGATCCAGTGATACTCTCTTATGTTGTAGGGGTCAAGTTAGACTTTACAGAACAACCTGTACAAGATTTTGAGCCTAACAGCTTAAACTTTAGTTCAGCAGAACAGCTTATTGTGGATTCAGAAATTAAAAAATTGCTTGACAAAGGTGTCATCATATCCTCTAATGAGGAACCAGGACAGTTTGTTTCTCCCATTTTTCTCAGGCCAAAAAAGGATGGCACCCATAGGATGATTCTTAACTTGAGAAAATTGAACTCTTGTATAAAATACCATCATTTTAAAATGGACACGGTGCAAACTTGTCTAAATCTTATGACTCCAAATTGTTACTTAGCTTCACTGGATCTGAAGCATGCTTACTACTCTGTCCCTGTAGCTCCAGAATTTCAGAAATACCTTAAATTTAGATGGAAAGGCAGTCTTTTTTCATATGTTGCACTTCCAAATGGACTAGCCTCTGCACCCAGAATCTGGACTAAGCTTCTTAAACCAGTTTTGGCACAATTAAGGTCAAAAGCATACATTTCCAGCATTTACTTGGATGACCTATATTTACAAGGTGAAACTAAGGAAGCTTGTGAGGAGAATGTTAGAGAAACTGTGCAATTACTATCGAAATTGGGTTTTGTTATTCATGAACAAAAGTCCACACTAGTTCCTGTTCAAATTATGGACCACTTGGGCTTTACCTTGAACTCTAGGTCAATGACAGTTATGCTCACTTCAGAGAGAAGGGCTAACATTGTTTCAAAATTAATGGACAGAATGAAAAAGCCTAAATGCACAATTAGGCAAGGTGCACAGTTGATAGGTTCCCTAGTTTCAGCTTTACCTGGGGTACAATATGGGGAACTACACTACAGGTCCCTGGAAATGGATAAAATTCTAGCCCTTAAGAAAAACAGGGGTAATTTTGATGCACATATGATTTTTAGTAACAAGGCAATCACAGACATAGTATGGTGGATAGATAACATCAACTTGGCAAAAAATCTAAGACTCCCCAATCCTGACTGTATTATTCAGACAGATGCATCAAAAATGGGATGGGGTGCAGTGTTACAAGAGTCCACAACAGGGGGTAGATGGCAGAAATGTGAAATGACTAAACATATCAATTTTTTGGAACTTAGGGCGGCCCAGCTTGGGTTACGGTCTTTTCAAAAGGACATTTGTGGAAAACATGTACAGTTACAGATGGATAATACTACTGCTGTTGCATACATAAGAAATATGGGAGGCACCCATTCTAGTGAATGTAATGAGATCACCCTTTCTATCTGGAAGTGGGCAATTAAACACAACATTTGGCTCTCAGCAACTCACATCCCAGGTGTCCTTAATGTTGTGGCAGACAAACATAGCAGATATTTTAATGATAGGACAGAATGGTCTTTATCCCCCTCTATTTTTGAGCATTTAGCTGCATTCCTTGGGAGACCTTCTGTTGACCTGTTTGCCTCCAGGTTGAATCATAAGACAGAACTTTATTATGCCTGGAAACCAGACCCCCATGCACTTGCAATAGATGCTTTTCAGCAGTCTTGGTCTGTAAACTTAAACTATGCATTTCCTCCTTTCAGTATGCTGAATCAGGTCCTTCAGAAGCTGCAGACAGACCAGGCCGACATCTTGCTGATAGCTCCACTGTGGGCCACACAGCCATGGTTCCCAGTCCTCCTTCAGATGCTCTACAGAGAACCAGTGCTGTTGCCGCCAACACACAAAATCCTGAGCCTTCCGCACAAAAAAGGGGAGGTGCACCCACTGTCAGACAAGATGAGGCTGATGGCATGTTTGTTATCGGGAAAAGCTTACAAGAAAAGGGTATTTCAGGCAAAACTCAAGACATTATTATGCAATCTTGGCGGACTGGCACACGAAAACAGTACAACACCTACATCAAAAAATGGATTAATTACTGCACTAAACTCAATTATGATCCCTTTCAGCCAAGTGTGCCACAAATATTAGGATTTCTCACTGAACTGTTTGAAGCTGGTCTTAATTACAGTGCCATTTGCACTGCAAGATCTGCTTTATCAGCTTTTGTGCAACTGAAAGATTCCTCAACACTTGGATCTAACCAGCTCATCAAGCGTTTCATCAAAGGTGTATTTCACAGCAGACCTTCTTTTCCCAGATACCAAACCACATGGGATACAAATATTGTATTAGCATACCTAGAGAAATTATCACCAGTTTCAGAACTTTCAGACAAAGATCTAACACTCAAACTAGTTATGCTGGTGGCACTGATATCAGGACAAAGATGTCAATCAATTCATCTCATGAACCTTAAAACAGTGTTAAAAACTGACACAGGAGTGGCTTTTTTAATTGATGCATTAGTTAAACAGTCTAGGCCAACAAAAGATCAGCCAATCATAAACTTACCTGGTTTCCCAGAGAACAGCAGACTCTGTGTGTTGAATGTGTTACATGAATATTTAATTAGAACTAGCAAATATAGAAGTAGTGGTGTTTCACAACTTTTTCTTAGTTACAACAGACCTTTTAATCCTGTAAAAAAGGATACGATTGCTAGATGGATAAAGACAGTCATGTTAAAGGCTGGAGTGGATACAAGTGTGTTTAAAGCACATAGCACACGTGCAGCTTCTACTAGTAAAGCTTTTGCTGCCAATATTCCACTCAGTACCATTTTACGTACAGCTGGTTGGAGTAACAACAATACCTTTTCTAGGTTTTATAACAAACCAACAGTATCACAGAATACTAGTTTTGCTTTTTCAGTGCTTGAAAAACTGTGATTATGATTCATGAGAATATTGTTTGAGTTGCATTAAAAAAAAAAAAAAAANAGTTTTGTACGCGCAAATTTCCACTCACGGTCGCCATGTGCCTGTGTAAGGTACACAAATGTACAAATTATTCAAATAAAGGTGTGTAGGGCCCTTCAAGATAAAACACTGACCAAAGCTGTATGGATGTTTCTGAAATATATATCCAATTGTTTTATGGTAAAGTAATTACTTCACAGATGTACTTTTTGTATATTGGTACGTGATTAAATCACGGATTGAAAACGTCTGCAACTAAATAAAATGTACGATGAAATAAGTCAAATGCAGAATGGAATTCGAAAATTTCAGACCAAAAATATATGGGTATTCATTCAATGTTTATGTATGGATATTCATTCAACGTTTATGTGTGCCTGTCCAGGTTCTGGCATTGTAAACAAAAAGGGATCATCGCTGGAAAGTATGTATTGATTCTAGGACAATACCCGTGCCAAGCTACTTACCTCAATGTCCTGAAAGGAACTTGACATCATGGCAATTAGCATATTGATTAGGACTATGATTGCCATGGCATGGTACACCATAAACAGCAACTCCCCAATCCCCTTGGTGAACGGCTGTCCATCTTTTATGTTGATGTCCTTCAACTGTGTCAAACCGAACAGCGACCAAATTAACGTGCCTACACTCTGGTCTAGCCTGGATGAAAAAAAAATTAACCAGTGTGGGTGGGAAATAGGAACAGTCAACCTTATTAAACACTGAAGACACCAAGAACTGTTGTAAAATTTGGGTTTATAATGGTTTATGGCACGTTAAGGAATTTCATGAGTTCCGATCCAAGAGCAAATACAGGGCTGTTTTTGATAATGCAAACTATAGGCAAGACGAAAAAAGGATGCTCTTCATTGCGATGATGGTTGACATTTATACTATCAACAAAGGTATATACTTAAACCGTAATCCAAATTGCTTTCTTGATTTTCCTGAGCTTTCGTGTGTATGAAAATATAAAAATATATGTGTATCTAGTCGACAATTTTACAAAATCACAAATAATTCCATTCAATAATTACAAAGATGATTGGAAACTGATTTATGGGATTTATTCAAAGAATACATACGTGTAAAACGGCGCTGTGGATCCATCAGGTGGTTGATAAGACGAATACAACTGGTTAAGTCCGCATGCAAATGACGCCAACACTAGCATGAAAATAAACAAGAACTTAGCAATGTCAATCAACATGCACCCAAGAGAAATCTGCAACGGACCAAGGTTTGGATTGGCCAGGAAAAGGTAAATGATTCGTGCAAAACTGAACACGTTGGCCACAGCAAATAAACCCTCGGAGATCAGAGTCGGGTCTTCCATGGGCCAGTACTTCCGGTCAAGTTCGGATGGGCCATAATCTCCGGATTGGATTTGTATGAACGCCACTGTCCGTAGAGAGAAGGTACACAGATAAAGGGACAGCATGATGAAGTCCAACCAGTTCCACCATTGCCGTATGTAGGCCTTCAAGCCTTCCTCCCATAATTGCTTGCACTCTGCCCAAATGAAACCTGAAAGTCATAAACCACTCTTTCAAACACCAAAAACAGATTGCTAAATAAATTTGATAGAAAATAGCCTTAATAGAAAATAAATGTACCTGTTCAGAAATGCATAATCCGGTTTATCCACATCAAGCACAGCAGTGACAAGAGTGACCTACATTTGGTACAAAGCACATATAGGCCCTAAATGAAGTCTGAGCAAACCAAGGACATATAAACGTCCTTGGAGCAAACTGACTGCTAAATTATGGAAGGGGAGACCCTCCGGACCTTTATACACACAGCACCCGATAGACAAGGAGGTAATTTTCATATTTGTTAAAGACACTTTGTTAGCTGAAGATCCAGAGCATGAGATACTTTACTAATCTGAACAGAGTAGAAGGCAATTTTTCGTATCTACAGTGGGAGATTGTTCACGTTCCAAGCGAAAGGAGAAAGCAATTTTCATTTTTATTCAAGGGGCTTCGTTTGCAGAGGATCGTCAGCAAGAGATCGTTTGCAATCCAAGCGAGATAAGAAGGCAGATTTCATTTTCGTTCAAGGGACTTCCCTTGCAGAAGAGCATCAGTCGGAGATCCTAACCGATCCAAGAAGGCAATTTTAATATCTTCAACGGGAGATCCTTGTGACAAGAGCAACACAAGAAAGCAATTTTCATATTTGTTCAAGGGACTTCGTTTGCAGAAGATAGTCAGCTGGTGATCGTTATCCATTATTTTAACTCCCCCTTAAATCTTTTTTAAAAATATTTTTTCATTTTTGAAGACAGGGTTAGACCTGTCTTTGCTTTAGCCAATCTGAGCAAGACCACATTTCTTAATACTACAACTGCTAAATGACAAATCATTTAACAACATTTTGTTTCTATAAAATATACATGCACTAAAAGGAAATTGAAAACAATCTTTACAATTTCCCCTGAGAAATGTCTAATTTTGTTTGCACAAAAGCTAATTCACTGCTGGATTTACTAAACTTTGGGATCAATTAACACTCACACTGTAGTCTCAGTGGGAGCTGTATCCTTACCTGCAAACCGCCAACAGCAGAAGTGGCAAGTTTGTGGTTGTGGGACTCCATGGCCAACTGTAGCGGAGACAAACATTTTTCTCTGTAAATAATAAAAATTTTGATTTACATATGGGGGACAGTTCATAATTCCTATATCTTGTCACTCAATCTATTTTAATCATTATTTTCATATTCCTATCATATATATAATTTCAAGAAAAAAGATATTACTGAGGCAAATTCAAAGATTTAATGAAAATCTGTATGAAAAGGGAAAAAAGTGGTTTAAAAAAATTAAGAAACATATCATAGAGAAATGCTTCATCAGTGGTTATCAAAATGTGACGTGTTACTTTTGGTGTTAGCTTAGAAATATGAAACTGAGGAAATCTCAAAATTATAATTAATGTTTACATACATCCTTCACCTACTTGTACTTCCTTAAACTGACTGATCTGATTTTTAATAGCAGTAAATGACTGTGTTTATAATAAAGTACTTTTGCAGCACAGTGCGAAACAGTTATAATTTCACCATATTGATTCTTTGTTTCCCACCTGAGCAAATAGACTGGGGCTTTGGATGCCTTGCTCTCATCTCCAAGAAAATCTACAAATATAGTCAAGTGTATACATGTATTGATTTGCCTGGAAAATACTGTAAATTGTTCAGCAGTACTTGAAGAGTAGATGACCATAAATATAATATGCATGGCAACATATTGCATTCAAATCTCTATCATCAGATGCTCTCATCTGAAAAATTGAACATATTTCATGACACTTACTTAATTATGAGAACTTTGAAATATAGATTACAACAGGCCACAGAATATGACTTTAGACACCAAAATTGTTCTTCACAATATTTTAACACCAAAATCACGCATACCAATAATGAATTAACATTCTCCAAACTTTTAACTGAGGCAGCAAAGAAAAACAGGTTTTGAAAATTGGGATAGGATGATTCTTCTTGTAACATTAATCTGATGAAAATAAAAATTGGTCTGGTAATTAAAATTAAGAATAACGATATCTCTTTTTCTTACCTGTTTTTTTTTTCTCTCAACAAAATGATTAAATCAAAAACAAAAATGATGTTGCCAAAAAGATTGCTGTATTTTCTGCACTGCACCCCAACAGGTCACCTCAAAATGTACATGTTGATAAAATGATTTTCTACAGCTCCACATAATTTTTAAAATCATTTTATGAAAAACATTAAACCTGTATTGAAACTTTGCTCCTAAAATGACAAAAAAAAAAAAAAAAATCCACTGGCTAATAATTGCCATTATCAATACCATCATATCAAAAGCTCTCTGAAAATTAGCTATTGTATGGTAAACTAAATAACTCACGTCGCATGTATACCCCACCACCACCAAAACATGATTATAATAGTAATGACAATAATATAACACATAAAACTGAATAATAATAATAATAATAATAATAATAATAATAATAATAATAATAATAATAATAATAGAAGCGTTTTGGAAACGGTGTCATTCTCAGTGGTGACTGCTGTCCACTGCCTTGCTTTGGATTAAAATTCAAACCTACCTAATGCCTCTTTACACGCTTTCTTTAAATTAGCAAATTTGGCAGGAGCAGCGTCCTTTGAAATCTGAGTTAGTAAATCCTCCATATTGCAGCTGTATTAACAACTTCGTGTCTAAGATAGCTACCCGATGTCAGCAAACCTATGATCAACATCAGTACATAACGATAGATTTAGGTCTCAAGCAACAAGTAACACATTGCTACTTTGGTCTTTTAAAGCTTTTAGCTTATGGCAGTAGATGTTATTCTGCAATAGAGAATCCTCGTTAAAAGAAATCCATTGTGTGGGAAGCTCGACTCCAAGTGTAGGAGTATTGACGTCTGCAAATGCCTCTGTCGTGGCCGCGCTTGTGTGGCGCTTAGAGCAAAGTAAAATGACACTTCTCAACTTTAAGAGTTTTAGAAATTTTGTGAATAGATCAATTAATAAGTGTTTGTTTAACTTTTAAATAATTTTAGTTTTCCGCGACAGAATCTCTTTTAGGAAAAGATGAAAATAACTTCCGTGTTTTAATAACGATGTATGTGACCCCAGAAGCCAACCAAACTCTTACTTTCACATTTACTTCTTAGTGTCATAGTAACTTGGACAGGTGCTCACAAATTATCAATTGCAGGCGAATAAAGACATTTCTTTTTGCTGAATCGTATCTTTTTGAATTGAAAATATAACAGCACATATTGTTTAATATTGTTTATTTTCAACTTTTCTTTTGGGCATCAAAACAATCCTACTTTGTGTAAACATACATGTACATTGCAACTTTTCTGTGAGCCATCACTCAGACACACCAGATACTAATATCCACAGTACTATTGGCATTTTAAATTTATTTAAATATTTCAAGAACACTAAGCCTAAAATAAACACATTTGATCTTTTGCTTTTACTGAAATATTTTTGGCATAGCACTTACTCCATATTTCAGGGGCCGTAGTGATAGTCCGAGGGTTCAATAGTCCGAAGGTTCATTGGTCCGAATGTTCACTATAGAAACTTCGGACCAATGAACCCTTGATTAAAAAATCGATGATAATGTTACCACTTTTCGGACCAATGAACCTTCGGACCAATGAACCTTCAGACTATCAAGATGCCCCCATATTTCATACTAGTACTTCTGAATCAATCACGGGAAGTTGATTAAAGAAATGTATTAAAGCATTTTCATGTAATGACTTGTTCCCTTACTGCATAGATGTATACTTACAGTGTTTCTTTTGTCTAGAACACTGAAATCATTTTAGTCCATGTAACTTAGGTTTTCTTCTTTTTCTCACACCATTTCCCAATTTTTATGCTCCTTTTGGTGCTTTCCTCATTAACATTGAATAAAATTTACAACTCGAAGAGAACCTTTATCCTAAGATTCTGCTTATATTAACATCTTATGGTATAAGGCATTATCTGTGCTTTAATGAACTAATTTCAGCCACAAGTGTAAAACTGTACATGCATGCACAAAATTTTATATTTTATTCATACAGAATAGATCATCATAAACCCGAAATCTTCGTTTAGTTAGAGGGAATACAGTTAATCAGTTATGAATAAATCTAGCTTTTATATGAATAAAAAACAGATGAAATAACAGACTTGTCCTTTTTATCATCTCATGAAAGAGGAATTTTCACTTCCAGAAGATAACTAACAAAAACATATAGATAGTGATATAATTAGGCTGTCATACATTTTATAATAATTTCCAATTTATTCACTACACCATGCTGACATCTTTCAAGAAAATAATGAATGTGAACACTTACATCACAAAGTTTACCTATATAGTTTACAAATAAAAGCAGTTAATATGACTTTACTTTTCTGTGAATTCCTTTCCCATTCAGTAAAAATTTATGAAAATATACATTTCTAGGGAATCTTTGAGGAAAAAAAGTTACCCAATACTTGACAAAAGAAATGGAACTTTCATGCAATGATGTCGTAATACATCAATTGAGAAAATTCAAAAGAACCAACAGCATTTGCCTACCTGCTAGAAAAATCTTCTATGCTTCATTGAAGCAAGACAATTTCATTATGCCAGAACTATACAAAATAATTGTCTAATCAGGCTGGGGTATATACGATATATTCTTAATTTCTGACTTTTGTGAAACTCATCCGATGTCTTCCATATGGTCAACTCTAAAAGGTTCTCTATCAGAGCACGCCCACTGCAGTATATGAACATGGAGACTTGGGTTTCTATGGATTATAATAACATTTTATTCAACATCAGATTTTTTTCTGATTAGAAGATCCATCATTAAAAGTATCAGCTGAAGCAAGGGCAGTTGATTTATCACAATTGTTATCAGTCATTCAGACATCAAAGCACAGTTCTGCATGTAGTTGTTTGCCAATTATCCTATTTCTGGTAAGCCAGCTTTTTGCCTGCATTTTTGAATAAGGGCTCTAAGCATGAACTGCTGTCGTGACAACTCTCTGACTTGCTGCAAAATAAGTGATAATCATCTGTTATTCAATAGGTCAACTTTAAGCAACATATCAATGTATAGATTACAGTTTCATAAACAAATATCTTGATTTGTATATGAAACAGTGAAAAAGTTAATGACTGACAAATTAACTTAATTAATTTTTCTGTTATACAATGGACCAGGTATGAAAAGAAATAGATTTGTTATCACATAAATGTGTTCTATATTTCTGAGGATAATACATTTTTTCTAGCATCAATTTCATTTTTGTATAGAAATACTTTTGTTGAACAATAAATTTAAAGGCACCTTGAGAAATACATCCAGATCAATAACCCCTTTCCGTAGAGCTTCACCTATATAATATATAGCATCTTCTATTGATTGTTCCTCAGCAAAAGCATTCATCAACCTGAAAACAGGAAAACAAGTTATCAAAATATTTATACATATATTCATTCTGATCTAAAAAAAAAAAAAACTACAGATAAAGCATAAATATTTATGGCAATATGATTCAAATACTGATTTATTGCTTGTCAATATAGATCAAATGATATGTGCAGAAAACAATTCTACAGCCAATTTATGTTCTGTTATCAGATAGGACAAGATAAGAAAGCAAACAAAATTGAATATTAAATCTCAGTCGATCTTTTACTTACTGCTTATATAATGGGGCTGTGGTGACCACTGCATCATCAATATTTAAGTCATTTTGACTTTCCATTTTCCTAAGAGCTTCTCTTATTTCATTATCCTTTTCTGTTAGAATTTCTAAACTTCTCCCCACTTCATTCTACAATAAATGAATTGAAAATAAGCATAATATAATATTCAATTTCCATGAATTATCTGTAGTAGGAATATTAACAGCATGTAAAATTTTAATACATATTATCTTATGATGCACCTTCACCAACAGAAGGTCATTTTCAATGTGATTTCATATTTCAATGTGAAAAGTAAAAACAACGTTTTCTATAACAAGTTCATAATTTATACAATATCCAAAGGAACAGGCTACCTGTTCTGCTCTTAGTCTGGAAATCATATCATCTAGTTTTGTTTTCCCATTGTTTAGATCATCTTGCGTCTTCTTCAATGCATCCATTTCAGCCTGCAGAACAACAAAATTTTAATTCAAACATTCTTACAAGACTGATATATCACATCTCCCTGAACATCGTTTTGTTCATAATATTTGAAAAGCCTATTAAAAATTTCTGAAAAATAATAAAAAGTGTTTTACCTGTGCTTGAGCAAAGATCTCTTTTAATCTTCTTCTCATCTTATCTTCAACTGCAGAAACAAGGGACAGCCTGATTTGCTCATCCGAAATTGCTGCACTCTGTTGCATAGCTACATTAATAGCAAAAAATATCTTATAAGGTCCACCTTAAACCAAAGTCACAATTTCAGGTTTTAAAAATCAAAGCTGCAAATAGACAGGTTTTTACACTGCTTTCATCATCAAAGTTATTCAAGCCCAAAAAGTGGAAATAAATCATAAAACATTGTATACAGGAAGACTGACATACAGGCACACAATTTTTTACAATTTTTTATTAAACTAATTGCCAAGGTAATCAATTTTACTGTATAATGACCATCAATTTCAAAAGTAAGTGAATTAGACATCCTTTTCTTCACTCATCTTAAACTTTCATACCTGCAGTAGTTGGTGTAGCAAAACTTGGCTGACTTGGTTGATACCCCTGGCTTCCTGGGTAACTTGAAGTAGCAGGGTAAGAGGACCCTTGAGGAGGATAACCACCATATCCACCACCTGGATAACCCCCAGATCCTGCACCAGCAGATGGATAGCTTGTAGGAGGATACGAAGGCTGGTATGCTGGGTATGGAGGATTTGTTGGTCCACCTACACTTGGCATGGGCATGAATCCTACAAACAGTGACACAGCAATGCATTTTATAAATATTTGATGGAACAAACAGCATAAATGCTATATAGCTTGACAATTCCTCATTAGGTATATATCTCTCTATATAAATACCATAATAATCTTTCTACTATTATGAACAACCAAAAATATGCTATCACCAAAAGCATATATTAGTGTGGGTTATTTTGGTGCACTTTATGAATTGGATCAAGCAACATATGGAGACAAAATCAAATTTCCTTTATACAGAAAAGAGACTACTGGTTTTAAAAACATACTGCATTATACGAAGTTTTGAGACAACACCACCACCAAAAAATTTTAAAACATGCCTTATGGCTTATGATGACATATCTTTCTATAAATCAACATATTAGAGGTCACTGCTAGCATACCATTAGTATTATATTTCATATGTCAAAGCTTCAGGACCCAACAGCACATACAGATTTTTCATATAATATTTTTCATATAAAGCTATGCATAAAGAGTCTAGAAGCAAACTGTTCTCATATTTGCAGTACACATGAAAATACCTGGTGATGGAGGAGGTTGCAGTACAGGATCTATGAGGATGAACATCAATCACTTAATATTACTGTTGAAATAATCTGTCAACACGACTTTATATATGCTCTGGTTTAATAATAAAATGATGCATGACAGCTCACTTAACAATGTCACTTATGAGGTATCATTTTGCAAAAGATTACTGTAGTTTAAAAAATAAGAAGATAAATTTAAGCAGATGTTCAATATGCCAGTACAGTTAGAAATATAAATAACTATAAAAGCACTAAGGCAGCACCTAACTCTGCCAAGGCAGCTCAATTCTCATTGTAATTAAATTAAAGTATTAATGTATCACCACCAAAATCTAATTTCAAGTTAAACAACTTCTGATCTATTCTAAAATTTTTATCAAAATCCACCCATAACTTCTTGAGTTAGATTATTAAAAAAAAAAAGACAAAGACAACCTCCTAGGCAGATAAAAAAAAAAATATATATATATATATATATGGGAACACTACCTGAAGAATTAGCACTGGGATAGGGGGGCTGGGAAGCACCTGGAGCAAATACAAACATGCAGATTCAACATGCAAATGATGGGTGGTTGCTCAAACAGCTTTGGATGTGTTTATGAACAGTTTACAGGTGAAATGGAATACATTTGCGACTCAAATAAATGTAGGCACACTGAAAGCTAAGTGATAAAATACTCCAAAATAGCTCTTCCTTTAAAATACTTGTCACTTATATTGGCATGCTTGAGATGTGTAGATCAAACATATTACCTAAAATTTTATGATAATATAAGAATGTGTGCACATATATCTTGAATACAGAAATAAATTACATGTGTATTGTACCTGTTGATGCAGGTGGGTAGGGTGTCTGACTGCTGTCTGAAGTAGAAAACAAACAAACATGCAACAATCAAGGTACAAGGATGCAGTTACACCATTCCACATTTCCAAATACAACAATGACACAAAACAAATGGGACAATATGTTTTCCTTTGATGTTGCTTGTTTTTTTAATTCCTTTGACAGTTTGGTTTTTGAAACATAACAAACATCACTCCATATCATACATGCATTCCAATTAATTGCATATGCTGTATTTTTGTTATTCAATATACTTCTTGGTTGAGTAAAAATGTTATGTACAATACATAACAGAATTTTTCACCCAAGTTGCATCTGTCTGAACCTCCAGAGCAACTGAATCTAGATGTTATGCTTATAAATCAAATTGCACTTACTCTGCATTGGGTATGGAGGTGTGCCACCACCTGTAAGAAAAAATTACAATCTGGAGGATAATAATAAATATTATGTAAAAGTGTTTCACAAATGAAACCTTGAACTTACACCATAAATACGCAACTACAAAATGTCATTATATACCTAATCTCACCAAGAAAGAAGCACAAGGCTACTTCATTGGTAATTTAAGTTAATTTAAGCCCCAAATTGACTGAATAAGTAATATTTTAGCTCAGAGAAACTTGTCATAGATAATACAATTTTATAGACATGGAAAAATAAATTTGGATTGTCACAGATCATGACAGAGAGCAGTGGAAAATCTTTGTTGGTGCCCCAGACGTCAGCCAGCCTCAAAGGAATTGAAGAAGAAGAAGAATTGTTGCTTATTTCATTAATATTATGTGTGCATATGATCATCAACAATCTACCTGGCAGTGGGTATGGCAGTCCTCCAGGTGGATACCCTGGCCTAGGTGGAGGGCCTCCAGTTTTCTTGGCAAATACTGGTGGGTTTTCCCCAAATATTATACCCATTATCTGTATTAAACCAAACAGGTCTGACTGCGGCTAGAATAAAATGAATTCTCTATTCTGTTTAAATAGACAATTATGATCAATTTAGCTGAATCTTTGTGAGTAAAAGAAAACATGGCTGAAATGGCATTATAAAAGATCACCATATCACTTTAAAATGACTGAAGTCTGATAAGTTTCAGTGTGTTACTTTACTTTTATAACCTTAATGTAACATAAATATTCTATTTTTCAGTTTATTATGGTTGAATTCTAGGAAAAAACAAAAGTCAAAGTTCCATACATGTCTCCATTCATGAAGATAAGGAAGATACACTCTTCCATTGGCATCTACATGTTGCCCTGGTTTGATCTGCATAGTTGCTGTTGGCTTCACATATACCATAGGTGGGTTATATGGATGGGTCTCCAACAGCCACAGACAAACTGGTATGTTATAGGTAGTACCTAAATATAATTGTGGAAAGACAACTTTGCTATATGCAATTATGTACACAAATTGGAGGAAATACCATCAAATGCAAACTGTTGTTTACTGGCACTGGTCTGCATAGTTACTAGTTCGCAAACAACAACTGTGAAAGAGGAGTTTGTTGATAAGTCAAAATAAATAAATAAATAAATAAATAAATAAATAAATAAACACAAAGTAAAGGACATTGCAATAGATAAAAAAAATGGTAAGAAAAGTTCAATTTAACAATCCACAGAGAAGAGTCCTACACATACCAAAAAGGGTCAGTCAACCTCTCTTTAATATAAACCCATCTTCAGACACAAGTTCAGAAAAGTAAAAATTAATAAGAAAAATTGTGAGTACTACAAAAGCATGTTCAGTTATGTCCACATGCATAACAATATTACCTCTATAAGTAACTGGTATGGTTCCTTCAAGACACAACAGCTCTTTTCTGTTTCCATCATTGAAGACTATAAATAGGTAAAACAAATGAAAATTTGTAGCATGGACATCCATAAAAACTCCCTGCGGTATCACTAATACTCTCCAATTTAGCCAAATGCTAAAACTGACTGAAATTGGCTAAACAAATTAGAGTTGATATGACTCATTTTAGTCAAATTTAAACCATTTGGACAAAAAAGCAATGAAAAAGTAGTCATTTGGCTAAACGAAAAAAATTGCTAGCGCCACCCTAGACCTCCAATGGTAAATGGCAAAGTGATGCAGTCAATATTTTAAGTTCATACTTGGTTCAAAAACTTAAATATCAGTCACATAAATTCTTACCAAAACTGTCAACATTAGGTCTCAAATCCTTAAAATTTGAAAATGCTTGCAAAATGTCCCTTTTGGCTAGGTCTGGATACTGGTACTAAAATAAAAAGTATATTATGTCATAAAATACGCATCTATTTGTATCTGATAAATTCTAACACAACAAATATGATCAAACAGGTACATGTACTATATCTGTATATACAACGTTACAAAGAACTGATTTAACTTTTGTCAGTAATGCTAATGGGCCATTTCAGATTCGTTTCTGCTGTCCAAAAATCTTTAAAACTCACATAAGAAAAGCTCAAGAGATTACGATGTATTACGATGTAATACAAAAACACAATTATTAAACGAAGTATAAAATTACCATGTAGTACTGCAGTATTTATCATGTGATGTTTTAGTTAACACCTCTGAACTTCCATAAGGAATAAACATACTAACTTTGGAAAGAGCATTCCTGAGATAAGCATCATGTCCCTGGGAACCTGCCATTTCTGAATAACGAACTGCTATATGTAGAACTCTACTTAAAATGATGTGTCAAAACACCGTCAACGTTTTGGTATATGTGAATCATCAATGTCGACAAGAAGAACAATTCACGTCAGATTGAAATGACGAATCATTCCTGACAGTGACAGGTTCAATTTTCCCCTATATAGCGTTTAAACGTCTATCTTTCGTCCGTGTTTATGAGTTCGCTTGTTATCAGTTTGCAACCTTACTTCTATCGAATACATAAACTGCTTCAGATTTGCATACACTACCCACTTTATGCTCCAACCTAAGGCAAAGAAACCTCCTAAGGGAACAGGAACTGTTTATCTCAGTTGCCGCTGCGCATGACAACTAGGTCACAAGGAATGACGTCAGCGGGAATTCCCCTCAACAAATGTTTTTTGTACATGTGATTGTGAATGATGCAAATGTCAAAGGCTGATGCAAAAAAATGTGTATTTAGCCGGTGCCAACTACCTTCTTTACATCAAATAGGAAAGATGGTGCATTATTGATTTGTAAAATAAATAAACAAATTATGTTTTTCCGAAATTTTCAACTCTTAATTACCAAGATAAATCACATCAAAACCAAACTGACAAAAGGCATCGGAAATAAGAATTATATATCCGTTTCCTGAGTCTTAAATTTGTTAATTTCCTATTTCATATTCACAGGGTCCTTTTATTTGCTGAGAATTAAAGTGTACCATTATTCTCGCCACTCCAAGAAATCGTTTGGTAGAAAAGATGAACGTGTTAGTATTGTCTTTCAACGACTCAGAAAAATTAATTAATCAGAAAAAAAAAACTTATTGGTTATAAATGACACGAACAAGGACCGTTCACCTGTGTACTTTCCGGGGAACTCATAGTTAAGAATTGTAATGAGTAGGTATATTTAGGTGCTATATTTACTCAGTATGGAAAGGCGCCTTTTACAGTTGAAAGGCATATTGTAAAAAAAAAAAGCCAAACATTATGAAATTTGTATCATTTTTTGATAAAAACCGTGATTTCCCATTTGCAGTTAAACGGCTACGGATGCGAAGCTTGGGTAAATAATAGCGCTAAATGTGCTAGAGGTTACTTGGTTACGCCTTTGCTTGGTGTACAGTAAGAGTGACAACGCCAAACGATTTATGTTTAGTTGAACTTGCTTTATGTAGTGCAGAAGCCCGAGTGAAAACCGCTCACAGGGGCGGATCCAGGGGCTTTTTTTTAAGGGGGGGGGTCCAGATTTTAGGAATGGCATCAAAATTCTCATTTTGAGGTATCGAATCTCTCAAAGTTTGTGCATCGGATTTCAATTGATTGTATTATTGTTGAAATGAATTAAGTTTAATCTTATCAGTAGAATACACATCCGCTTTCATTCTAAGTCATCGTTTTCTTACAAATGTATATCAAAAAAAAAAAAATGCTAGAAAGACTAACTGGATCCAGTTTCATAGAAAACTTTGACCATTACTGCTGATTTAACTTGTCATTTGAAGTAATAGTAGATTAAAATGTCGGTATTAATGGTGAACACTAATTTCCTATAGGTCCACATGCAGAAAACAGAAAAGTCAAAATTGAGTAAAAGGTATATTCGTGGGTTCTACTTTTTCTAAAATTCTGGTGACAGAAAGTGATAAATGTAGCTTTTTGTGAAAATGACTTTGCCCCTTCACCATATCGTCTAGCTAATAATAATGATCTGCACCAAAAGACGTCATGGAGGTTTTTTCAATTTTTAAAAAACCGTGAAAATAGCCTCAAGCTATATATTGGATTATTTACAAAAAAAGATTCTAGACATGTTCTGAGGCGTTGGACATCACACTAGAACAAGAAGTTCTTGACAAGTTGCAAATTTTTTACTTTAGTAAAATAATCTAGATCGATTGGAGATAGTGAGATAATGCTGCGAGAGCCAGTAATAAAGGTTTAAAATTTAGTCCGTTTACCTTTTCTATGTGCGAACAGATAGTTCTAGTACTTATTCTTTTAAATATATGTTAGTAAAAGTTCCACTTGGACAAACAATTCGTCCGCTCGGTCACTTTAAGTCCTACGTACATTTTACAATCCCTCATTATTTCAAAGAGTTATTGCTATTATCTAAGTTAGGGCCCATCAAACTTACTTCGGAGGAAATTCCAAAAACGTCAATAAAATTAAATAAAATGAAATTGTACAGCGTTTTTACTCCCGCAAAAAAGAAGTGTCAAATGTGCTAAGAATGGTTATGACAGAGCAAATTTCAAGGAAACGCAATGCCTTATGCTTTTGAAGTGCTGGTAGGTTCGCACCTACCACATCGCTCAATAAACGTGCGAGGAGCATTTTTGTTAAAAATCTAAATTTACAGTTAAGATTCTTTGTAAATAAATGCGAAAAATATACTATTTAAAATCTGTTTTTGGCATAAGAAAGCTCTTTCTTGAAATAAATGAATGTTTATCAATGAAAATATCAGCAGTATCAAAAATCCTCTGCTTTAATCACCCGTATAATGTTTTGCAAAACGACTGCTCCCTTTGGTCGATCTGTTGTTATATAGGTGTTTGAGGTAGTGATTCAGCATTTCATAAACATGTGCGGAGAATACGGAGGGTTCTGTTTACTCTTTTAATCCTATATCGTTTGCACAGGATTGATAAGAAAACATAGAGTGTTTGGGGCCATCATTTTATGCCAGAATGAAGTACTTCGAAGCAAACCAACATGATCACTTTGAAGATTTCCCCGGTAGCGAGATGCAGGAATTTTCTGAACCTGTCGGTGAAAGTAAGGTTGCTCCGTACGAGAAGCCGGTGGAGCAGCATGTCGTTCGACCTAACTGGGGAAAGAAGCTAGAGTTCATATTAGCATGTGTTGGATATGCAGTTGGATTGGGAAATGTTTGGAGATTCCCGTACCTTTGCTATATTAGCGGGGGAGGTGAGATCCGTTTTCATTTAATTAAAATAAAAGCGAAACGACCAGCCAGTGCCAGCTTGTGACCGCCCGTTTTCGTGTTCGTGCTGTACTTGTACGCATAGTTTATGTCAGTCTGCTGCGTTGTTATAGGCCTAAAACCCACTTGTAGTTACATTTTGTTGTGTTTTAATTATTTATTTGAAGGAATCGTGTTGAATTTTTATTACTGTGAGTTACATCAAGGAAGTGGATGTCCACTTCCTTGGTTATCCTTGGTTACCTGAACATTTAAGGCATGTTAGCCCTGCTTTTGTTACTGTTCCATATAGACAATGATTTTTTTTTAAATTTACATTTACCTATTTTTCTGTCTTTTGGCCTCTTTTGAAATGTCTCATAAAACAAAAATAAGTCCTTTTAATCACAATAGATGCAATGCAAAATTTTTGTATGGTTTTGCATTTTTTGTATATAATACATTACAATGTATGTAAGATGAATTTTATTTACTGAGGCAACTTCCTATTGACACTTCTGACCTGTGTTGAAAGGTGCACATATAGTATGACTAGTATCATAGGTGGTTAATTCAAAAAGGGGGGAAATTACTGGAATAAAAAGGGACCCAGTTAGTGACTGAAATATGACAGGCTTGCATGCAAGCATGCATTAAAGAGGTTTTCAAAAAATCTTTTTACTTTATTCTTCTACTTTGATACAATGGAAAATTTGTATTAACTTACAGACTGTATTCATGGTGTGCTTGCCATCTAAAATGTATTTGAAATTGGCGCACAACTGTTCAGAATATATCTTGTACAGAAGCATAATGAACTGAAGGGTAAAAATCTACCACTTATTTCACTGATTTTTCCAGACTTGGAATAGCTCAATTTTCTCTACCTCACCTCAGAAAGTTTTATCACGAAAAGCACTCCCTATCTACCACAGGCAATTATGAGCATTACTGCTGTTCCACATGATTTTCGCGGATTTGCCCCTTCATTATTTTGTTCTTCTCCCCATACTTATAGTTTTCTCCACATCTTACTAATTTATATATAAATAGATAGGCCTACTATGGCTCATTCAGGGGTGGATCCAGAGATATTTTCTGACAGTCTTCCAAATTATTTTTGTTAATCCATCCTCCATTTTTGACCGTCTTCCGACAGAAAATATTAGATACCCGTCAATGTAAACTTTAAAATCTGACTGTCTTCTGGAAGACCCAGAAGACGGCCTAAATCCGCCCCTGTCATTGATAGGAAAGTATAGAGAAAACTTTAAAGTACGCAGGGGAAGACAAATATATTTCATCTTTTGTCTTACATTTGCATGTGGTGGTTGTGGCTGTAGTTAGGGCATCCTGTTTACAGTTGTAAAATATAAACTATAACTACTTTTTAAGTTGATTTTTTTTATAAAAAAAATTGTCTTGTCATTAGTGTAATGAGAGACAAGTTTTTTTAGCAAAGGGCCATCACCTTTTCGTTTTAGAAAACAGATCCTTTTGAACAATGAATGGTTCTTTATTTAGTTCAAGTTCACAAACATGTAAATTACATAATGCAGTTGATAGAAATTAACATAAGTAAGCGAAAGTAATGTACAGTTTATTGTTCTCATAATCCTTTGTTGGGAAGAAGGATAACAAAATATTAACACTGTAAGGACGAAAGACTGACATATTCAAACATATTCAACATAGGGAGAATTTATTAACCTTGATTGAGTTCTTAAAGTCATGTATATTACTTTGTGTATTATATACAACTAACAAGTACTAATAAATTATGCAGAATTTTTTCCAATTACTGTAATGTAAAACAGTCAGTGTGGAAGATATATAATTTCAAAGTTATCCTTCTCTGTACCTGTGTTAAAAGGTCATTGAATGTCAAAAGTCTCATTTAGCATGACTACAAAATTAATTCTATGTGACTGTTCACTATATATTAATTTCCTTAGCATTGATCAGTACCAGTAGATACACTGTTAAATGTGTGCCCACAGGTGATAGTTTCTGTACATTCTGTACAGGTCAGTGGAGGAATTCAGACCATAAAAAACATGCAGTGCACTTGATAAATGTGCATCTAAATATTAACAAAGAGTTGTAAAGAACATTGTATTATTTTCACATTTCTGACTTGTGATGGAATGAAGGCCTAGGCAGGATAGATCCCCCCCCCCCCCAAAAAAAAAAGCATGCACATGAACACACACGGGACAAGGTTACTGAGAGAGTATTAAAACTGAGGGTCAAAAGTTTAACCACATACTGTTTTGGCCACCTCCCCTAACAAAGCATAACTTTAATGTATTTTATTCCAGGCGCTTTCCTTATCCCCTATTTCATCATGCTGTTCCTATGTGGCATCCCTCTTCTGTATATGGAGATGGCTGTGGGCCAGTATACCAGACTGGGACCCATTGGAGCACTGGAGAAGTTATGTCCCTTGTTTAAAGGTAGGTACTTGTGAAGGAAATAGATCAGGATGTTTCTTGTTGAAGAAAAGGTCAATTGCAAATGAAATACAGGGTTTTATATACAGACAATGTATGTGTCTACACACACACACACATACACACATACACACACACACACACACACACACACTAGTATTTTGATTTCTGTGTCTTACTTCCTTTGCATCAATGTGCTATACTGCTTTGGCATATTGATACATAGTATTAAGTATGCTAGTAATTTTGATATAATATATCCAGGACTCCTTATACTTATCATGAAGATTGTATTTATATCAATGAGTCTAGGAGTTCTCAAACAGAATAATGTCTGTGATGTCATGCTCATATGAATTGAATAAACTTGGAAAAAATATCACTGTTTTAATGTGATATTACAAACATTTTACATACAGATTAATTGATAACTATATAGTGAATTTCATTTGTATGGTTTTGTCAAGCAAAATATAAAATTGTTTACAAAAGATGGATCTGTAAGGGTGTGGTCCCAATGAAACTATCACTCTGCATATAGATCGATCTTACTGTGTGGGGGCTCTGGCTGAATGTAATCAGATTAACTAACATTCAGCAAGAGCCCCCGTAATTTCTATTTTTCAAATCTAAACTTTCATCTTCAGTCTTCTTTAACTTCTTTGCCTTTTTCTTGCCATTGATCTGAATTTAACTAAATTCAATACGCAATCAATAAATTAACAGTGCCTTCAGATATATCCTATTAATATGTAATCATAAGTTCATTTCTGTGTTAATTATAAGGAGCTGGACTGGCTACTGTGGTCATCTCGTACCTATTGTGTACGTACTACAATGTGATCATAGCCTGGGCTGGCTACTACTTTGTCCAGTGTTTCCAGACAGAGCTCCCTTGGGCCACCTGCAACCATACATGGAACTCGGACAAATGCTGGGATGACTATTCCCCCAATGCCACTTTACTAAGGCCTAATGATAGTGTGTCTCCATCGGAAGAGTTCTATAAGTATGCCATATAGGATTTGTGTTGATTGATCATGAAAGATTAATGTTATAGATTTTTTGCTTTTGTAATGTGAAAGAATCCATATAATCTGTAGTGCTGGTCAGACTTTCATGCAGAAAGGGTTTTGAAAACCTGCTTAGTCATCCGAGTAGAGTACTGTGAGTTGACTAAATGTCATCTGTCAGGGCAAGCAGTGTGATCCAGTGCCAGCCATACATTAGTGACAATTAGTTGTTTGCATGTATATTCTTAATGGTCAGACATTATTGCTGGTATAAAAATTCCTTAAGAAAAAAATATATATGAAAATACAATGATGGAGAACATCATAGAGACTGAAAACTATGTGACCTCACCTAAAGAATTAGATCTCTAATTCCTTGCTTCACTTAACTTGTATGAATGCAAATAAAAAAGGAGTTTAGTAGGGCAGGATGGGGCAAGTGCACTCTTTGCTATCTGGATCTGCTTTGAATAAGCTAGCGCCCACTTAGGAATAAGCATTTATAGATGTATTGTGTTTTTTTTTTTTTCAAGCAACAATGTGCTGGAACAGACCAGTGGGATAGATGTGGTTGGGAGTATAAGATGGCAGCTTCTGATTCCACTATTCATCTCATGGGTAGCAGTGTATTTCTGCATATGGAAGGGTGTCAAATCAACTGGCAAGGTAAATTATTGTATGATAGTTTTATCTAAGTTTATATAAAGTTCAATGACACATGGGTGATGATATTTGAGGCTGTTGTTTGTCTAACCTTTGCAGATAATATATACATAAAGAATATGAATATGAGAAAACAGGTTATTCATTTATCTAAGAAAAATGTTATATTTTCTGTGCTTATTCACATGTAATGTTTACCATCTTTACTATTGTATTCATATGAATTGGTGTTGTGGCTCAATCGACCTTTGGGGAATTGTACAAATGTGAACTCCAGTACAAATGCCTGGACAGGTCTTAACATCCTGTGAACTGTATTGTGTATGGTATTAGAAACTGCCATTGTATCTACATGTAGGAATGTAAAGAATATATGCATGGACATGTTTTTCATTAATTGACAACTAAGGTCTGCTCACAGATGCAGGCATTAAGCTTTGTATTCAAGTACCATATGGTACTGATTCTCTGGAGGGGGGGGGGGGGGGGGTAGCCAGAAACATGTCCTTGATATAGATCATACCATGATCCTAGGGGAGGGAGGCAGCTACACTCTCGTCTCTCAGTAGAAGTCATAACCCTGAGGAGAGCTTGTTGTCATTCAAATGGCAGTTGTGACATGTGAAACAACTGACACTATACACGTACACATTAGATAAGAAGCTTATGGTAAAAAAATAAATAGCTTACAGCTTGGCATACGTAATTGACACCTTACATGTTGTACAAAAATGGCAGTTTGAGTGATTATTGAAAGCAAAATTCCTTATTTTATTCACCTCTATTGCTGTTTTCACTAACCCCAGGGCAGAAGGATATTGTTTATGTTACATAGCCTAGCAGTTTTGAAAAACTTTTTTTTTTTATAATTTCATAATTATTTTCTCTTCCAGGTAGTGTACTTCACTGCCACATTTCCTTATGTGGTTCTGATAGTCCTGTTTGGCAGAGGAATCACACTGCCTGGATCTTATAAAGGCATTTCTTTCTTCATTTATCCAAAATGGGAACTGCTTCTGGATCCTGCGGTAAGATTTTTATTACACTTTGCCATGTTTATTGCACCAAATTGCTCATGATTTATAGCTTATGTATACTTATGGAGTATTATAGATGATTGTACATCCTGCTGAGTTAAGTTTGAGAGGATGACAATATCAAAATTACTGTTGTATTGCAAAATTAACCAAAATTGCAGTACTGTTATTTTGTGCTTATGACATAACATAGGCTAAAAAATGGTTTTAAAGACTTTTAAGTTGACCAGCAGTTGGAATGGTAATTTCTGATAAATTCAAACTAAAATAAATTTTTTGTTTCCCAAAAAATTATTTTGCAATACCTAAAAAATGCGTATTCCGAAATTATGAATAGAGATTTAGCTTCAACTCAGAAATTGAAGTTTTCATCAGTAGCTCAAAACTTCAAGTATTGAAAAATGTAATAGTCAAAATAAGCAACATTCAAAATATGTAAATAATTATAATATTGAAGTACCAGAAAGAGGACATAATTATGCAAATATTCTGCTTATGATTATTGCCTGCAAGAAAAGTATTTTCAAGTCCAACTATACAACTTATTAATGTATGTTTTCAAACAGTGTTGTGAACCTACTTGCCAAGGTTGGGAACTAAGCAGAGTAGAGAGTTGTTTTTTTTTTGTTTTTTTTTTTACTACAAACTTTCACATAATTTGATTTGAACCATTAACATGTGTGTACTAGTGTTGCCCTTTGAGATAGTTATTCTTTTTTCGTGTGATGTTTTGTTGGAGTGTTTTCAAACATGTGTGAAAATGATTAGGATATCTGTCACACAACTTCAAGCCAAAATAATATCAAGTAAATGCCCTGTCTTGCAAAACTTTTCCCCTTTTTATATAACAGAACACCAATTGCATTTTGATATAATGATATGCCAAATAGAGAAGATATAAAATTAATTAATGTTTCTTTATGTTGGAACCTATGGATAAAACTTTTTTAAAATGGTACTTGTTCTGTAAGATGAAGGTCAGAAATTATTTTTCACAGTAAAATGTCATCTCCTGAAAATAATCTGACTTGAAGTCAAAGAAGAATAAATACAGGTTCATGTTGCACTGCCCACCACTGTGGATTTGAAATGGCTCTGTTATGCTCGATTTATGCTATTTGTTATCAGATACCTGATACAGAAAGTTGACATGTGAGGGTAGGTGTGTTCTTATTGTGTTTGAAGCAAACATCATAAATGGTTATATGACAAAGGAATGCTGGTGTCTGAACTGTTGTTAAACTGAATCAAGTTTCCATACATGGAAGATGTTCTGGATTTCACCCAGTACAAATTTTTGGACAACAATTTTGTAACTTATATTGCATGTCATTGATACTTCTCTTAGCAGCAAAAAATTCCAAAAAGGAAAAGAAGTATGTGAAAAAAATACTTTACTGAAAATGTGCTTCACTAAAGTGCAGAAATATGACTCTTTAATCAATTATTTTAAAAGACATTAATTAGATTAATTTTCCAGATACAAAGTTCAGTCATGTTTTATCTTAGTGCTATTACTATTACTTGCATTTGACTAAGATGTGTCCTTGCACATATTTATATTGTAATTTATTATAAGTGGCTTATGTTTTTTCTTGCAGGTTTGGGTGAATGCAGCTGCACAAAACTTCAACTCCATTGGCATTGCTTTTGGATCACTCATTGCCTTCTCCAGCTACAACAAATTCAACAACAGAATCTTCCCGTATGATTAAAAAATTGTATAATTTTTTTTTAATTTGATAGAAATATCAGAAGCTTGTTCTGGTGTCCTGTCTCAAGCACTTCTTTACACATTTTCTGTTTTTACTGTGTGGAAAAGGCCAATAACATAATGTAACATTTACATGCTTGAAACTGTCTAAGGTGGGATTGTTGATTGACAGGATCTGGGAGAGCTGTCTAGTCAGGTGGTAATTTGAGGATGAGTGTCCTTTGTTCTTTTACTGTTACTTCCGATATACACAGGCCCATAGCCTGCGATTTCATGGGGAGGGGGGGGGGGGTATTTTTCTAAAAAAGTAAACCTTTAACCATAAATCTTCATGTACCTAGTACAGGCCTTTTCAAACCCTCCCACCCCCCACCCCCCTCCCCTGGCTACAGGCCTGTATGCAGGTGCCAGTTTGAATAATTTTGTCAAGTTTTGCTTTTTTTTTTCAGAGATGTGATGTCAGTGTCACTTCTCAATGCAGCAACCTCCATATTTGCAGGATTTGTTATATTTTCCATCCTTGGTCACATTGCATACACTCAAGGCAAGGAGGTGGAGGATGTGGTAACACAGGGTGAGAGTGGTTGTTTATTTTTTATTTATACCTAAGATATAGGTAAACAAAGGTAAACCTTATGACTTGTGCCATTTAACAATTGAACTTGATCAGTTCTGTGATTATTTTTAATTGCTGGTGTAATAAATGCAACACCAGAAGGTAAAGTGTTATATTTTTAATAGATTGCTTTTTAAAATAAAGTTCCAAGATGCATAGCTAAATTTAATCTGTGCAAATAATAATCTCATAGTTGATGTTTGTTTACATTTTGTTTACATTTTGATGACAGCTAACCTTTTGATAAACTAGAAAATAAGACTGAGGCCCCATTCAGAATGGATGATCTGAGTACCTACTGATCCACCTTCTAAATATGGCCGACCACAGTTCAAAAGCGATGCCACTGATTCCTGATGGTCTCCCAGACTCCACACGCACAGGAATCAGCGGCATCGCTTTTGAACTGTGGTTGGCCATATTTAGTCAGCAGATCTGTAAGTCCTCGGATCATCCATTCTGAATGGGGTCTGAATCAGTTGGTTAAAAAATTAATGAAAACGTGCCTCTAAAACTGTAAGAGCGATCTGTGCAATGCAGTCAGCTCTCTCACCTTGAGCTGACGTATTCTGCATGTTGATCTTCTATGTGTGTACAATATACTGGGTGTATCATGATTTTTTGTGATTATTTGCATTAGACAAAGCTGTGATATGTATATATCAAAGTTAATGATATGAATTCCAGGTCCAGGCCTTGTGTTTGTCACCTACCCAGCAGCTCTAGTGAACATGCCCATATCCCAACTATGGGCTGCTCTTTTCTTCTTCATGTTGATGTGTCTGGGAATTGACAGCCAGGTAGGGTGGCAAATTAGAAAAAACTTAATGTCTAAGTGTGATTACCTGACAATCATAATATTTAAGTTTGAAAACACTGTAGGTAAGCTTAGTCATCTTTGTTTGAGTGTTTGTAGATGTAAGCATTGAGACTACTTGTAGACTAGATTTTTTTTTCAATACGTGCAGAATTGCTGAACAACAATGCCAATTTATTTGCTTTAGTATTATGTATGATTGATTAGTGATCAGACTCCTTCATTTAATATTTGTTTCTACTTGTTGTGAGTAATAAGCCATGACATTTAAAGTAGATTATGTAAATAAGAATATCATGAGTGATTATTATTCAGTAATGTAGTGTAGAATGTCTACACAAAAGCTAGCCAGAGGATACATTTTATAAGAATTTTAAAGAGAGTGGGTTTCTCACCTCATGACTGAGTGAAAATCTTCTTTTATACGTTTTATTGTCATAATGTGTTTAAGTTGTTTTTATCACTCTTTAAAAACTTACACACAAAATCCTAATTTTAGTTGCTAGAATAAACATTATCATTGTTATGTTACGTTGGAAAATTGTTCAATTTTTTTTTTAGTTTGCTATGGTGGAAGTGATCATCACTAGCCTGGAGGACCACTTTGGACGATTCATCTACCGTTTCCTACGAAGGAAAGAACTCCTGGTTTTGGTTGTTTGTGTGATTTCTTTCCTGATTGGATTGATTTACATAACACAGGTTAGTTTGTGCTAAGAAGTACAGTAATTGTTATCTGATGCATGTATTTCCTTGGCTAAATACATTTTATGTGTCAGGTGAAGATGTCAACCTTGGCCTTTGCACAAAAAACATTAAAGTGGTTAACATTAAAAAAAAGATAAACACCAGCTTTTTGTTTTTGTCTTATCTGTTTTTCTGTTTGCAAAGGATTCACACATTTATTATGCATTTTTAGCTTACCTGGCTGGAAATTTACTTTACTAATGCCATTCTACGTTATACTGTGTAAAAGCCAGCTTTTTTTATTCTGTTGTAAAATATTTTTGTAACATGGTTATTTTTTGATTTTCTATTAAACAAGTCATATCTTGCTATGTAGTTAAACTAGCATTTTCCAAAAATATTACTGACCACCTTGGTAAACAGCCAGTTGTCCTCTCTCAAAAGTAGACCATTCCCATAGACACCATCAGTTGACAGATTTATTCCACTCTGCGGGGACTCTTGTTGAGTAAAATCAGCTTAAATGAATGACACCCCTCCTCTTGTTACCAAAGTACTTGTATAATCAGGGGCAGATCCTGAGATATTTTCTGACAGCCTTCCATATTATCTTTGTTGATCCATCGATCCTCCATTTTTGACCATCTTCCGACAGAAAAAAAATTTGATACCCGTCAATGTAAACTTAAAATTCTGACCATCTTCCGGAAGACCCAGAAGACAGCCTCAATCTGCCCCTGATAATTACCAGCTTTTTCTGTTGTCTACTTAAAGCCAGGAGGAGGTGTGTTTATCTGTTAAAGTGATTGCATTCAGCCAAGGTCACCATGGAGTTGAATCAATCTATGTGGAATGACAGTTTCATTGGGAATGAGTCCCAAAACATTTTGTAAAACCTAATCTGAGGACTACATCACTGTATCACTGGTTAGTGTACCAGCAAGAAGATACATTATCTCATTCCATTCTGTTTAATTTCCATAATGTTTATGGGAATGGGGCCTTTAAGTAACTTCAGGTAAAATAAATTGGGTCTTCCTCCATCTCCACTTGCTGCATATGTTATGCAACATTAAAAGTTACCCACATTGAGCTGTAACAACTTTTAAATTTTGTAATTAGCTGGAATACCTCTTCTAAGGGCACTAAATTAACAGTTTAACGTAACAGATCATGTGATGTACGTATATTTTTAACCATTTGCAAAGGAAACCAACCTAACAGCATTACTCAAATCATATCAAAATAAAAATTAGCTTGGATGCCTCTGGTTAGAAATCATCATCAGATTGTTAATAAATATTTTTAAAATCTTTAAACTAATTATAACCTGGTGCGTACTGAGGGAACTTGATTCAAAAACTAACAATATTTACAGGATTGGATTTTACCTGCTCTATGTAAGCTGTTACTACTGCATGTACTTACTTTCCCATGATGTTTTGATAAAAATAGAAATTTCCTGACTTTACCCATCCCCGTGCTTATTGGCACATTCAAAACAAGGCTAAGAGCCTTTCAATCCAGTAGAGACATTCAGCATTCATGTATACATGTTCTGCTTGTAAAAAGAAAGATGCTGAATGCTTTGTTGAGTATTTCTATTATGCCATGATTTAAACTTCTCCAGGGAGGCATTTATTTCTTCCGCTTAGTGGATGCATATGCTGCGGGAATTTCACTCATGTACCTGGCCTTCTTCGAAGTGGTGGCCATAGTATGGATTTATGGTATATAGGAATAATCAGAAAATGTTGCTGTTATGTTTTAATGTTATAATAATTTTTGGAATTATTTCAGGACAGTTTTTTTTTAATTAAGTAAGGGATATTTTAATATTGGAACGATTGTATTCAAGATCATTAACGGACACATACAAATCTAAAAACCTTAGTAATTTGTATACATATTTATATATTATGAATTTCTGTTAATAGCTAAATGCAGAAATGCAAAAAGTAAGACAAAATTACTGGCAATCTGTCCATACATATCTGTTACAAACTATTTTGATTCTTTCAGGGGCTAACAGGCTTGCAAGAAACGTGAAAGAGATGACTGGCAACTACCCGTACATGTACTTCAGAGTTTGTTGGTGGTCGTTTGCCCCGCTGCTTATTCTAGTCAGTATATCAGGTCATACTTGTCATGTGTCAGAAGCAAGGCAATCCCCAGAGAGCCATCCAGTCATCATTTGGAGGGTCACTGGCCTCAAAAGCCAGCCTATATTTCCAAAGGAGGCTGGATGGCTTACAAGAATTTTTGGGTTTGTTTGTTTGGCTGACTTGGGTTGGACTCCCTGTAAACCGATAACCAAATTACAGATTCACATTTGGATACCCTGTACCCCAAATCTTTGGGAAACCCCTGGTCAAAAGTTAACATCAGTTTGAAGTGAGCTTTGTTTTGTAGTGCACTTAGTCGTTGTTGCTTTAAGTCAAATTATGTCAGCAAGTTTAAAGCACAAAACAAATCTGATAGACTTGATTACATATTAAAATAAACACCATTTCCAGGATGCCACAGTTAAAACCTTATGAAAGAAAATTAATGGTAATCAATTATACCATGACAGAGGTAATCAATGGTATAATGTAAGATAAAACTACTTGTTAACTTCACAGTGGACAAGCTTTTTTAAAAATGGTTTTCTATAACAAGTACTGTATATATTTATATTGTATTGAAATGTAATAGTTGTTATGATTTTTCAAGAATATACAATATAAAATATAACATGCACATTAAGACTTTCTTATATTTCCTGAAGGCCATCTGGATCTTTGGCTGGGTGAAGTACAAGCCTATCACGTATGGCAATTACATCTACCCAGACTGGGCCATTGGGCTGGGCTGGGGTGTGGCTCTCTTATCTATCCTGTGCATTCCTGGAGGTATGATACATGCACTGTACCAGGCAGAGGGACAGACACTCTGGCAGGTGAGTAGAACAGAACTGTGTAAGCCAAATATACTTGAGGTTGTTGACTTTTTCCTTTTTATTTTATTTTTTATTTTACTATATATATATATATATATATATATATATATATATATATATATATATATATATATATTTTTTTTTTTTTTTTTTTTTTTTTTGCAAAATTCTCCCAGAACAGTAACATGCACATAATTTAGCCAGATACAGATATGTATCTTGTGAACATTTTTTGGGGGCCCTGGGCATACTTGCTACAGGTGTTAGGCACATGTGCTTAAGACATGCCATGTAAATTCGGTGAATTTTAGGGTTCTTCCTTAGGTTCACAGAATTTTTAACCCACTTTTGGCTAAAATGTGTTATGCTTTTCACTGTGTAGAGTGGGCATCACTCACACCAAGTATTCATGATTGGGCAAATGGGTTCCAGCCCCCATGTTTCTAGACATATATTGAAGAAGATTTGACTGACAGAGACTGGGTTTGCATTACTGAAAATTGTTTGGTTAATGGGCATATTGTTTTCCAAATTTGTCGTTGGCAGGCTTTCATGTGGTGTATTACATACACGTTATCCTGTGTGGTTTGATACATGTCACTTAGAATGATCATAAATTATTTTACATGGCAAAAGCCTAAATTTCTGTTAACTTAAAACATGCCTTTGTTTGCTTTTTAGCGCTTCAGGAACAGCCTGCGGTCTAAGCTGGAGGACTCTGTCCCTAAACCCTTCAATGGTGTGGTTATGGTATCAATGAATGAGAAAGAACAGCTGTGAAGGACTCAGGGACTTGAAGCAAATGCAACTTTCTTCAATTTTATTTACATATACAGATATTCATAGATAATTATACTGATGCATATTTAGATATGACCAAGAATGTATTACCATCTTGGTAACAAATTTTTGCTATGACCTTTATACTTGTACATCAAGAATATTTGGTAAGCATATATATACACACCAAACTTTTGAAGACCAGTGTAATGAACTTCTATAAATTATGGCTACAGAGAGCATTTACATGGTTGCATTTAGTTTGGGCAGAACATTGTGAAAAGTTCAAATGCTTTACAATCAGGAAATCACTGAAAGGGTGCAAACTTGAGTCACATCTTCAAAGTACTTTAAATCTTTCATAAAACATCTACAACTAAATACTCCTTGTCGGGTGTAAAATATGTTGGCCGTTTGTCAAAAAATTCATGGTGACTTATAATACAACATGAAGCATTTTGTAAAAAGTAAAAAACAAAAGTGAAGAAAATCAAAAATCATTTGTTTAGGAATAAGTTAAATTCCAATTAGCTTTCATGTAGCTAGTGGAATTTTAGAAGTAATGAAAGTGGCAATAACATGTACACCTCTTAAACCCTTTTTTCATTGCATCATTCAGCTTCTCATCATTTAAAAATGGAAGCACTTTTTTGGCTGTCATTGTGAAAGCCTTTTTCAGAGTGGTTTGCATTAAACAAAAATATTTTGTCAGATAGAATGTCCTTTTTATCCAATATTCCATCTTAGGTGGTAATGCGAGTGTTAAGTGGAATATCTGCACAGTTTAAAGATTATTTTTTTCTCTCCCCAAATGGGATCTATATTTTTTAGAACATTAAAGCGTGTACACTGCAAGTTCTTTATCTTCAAGTAACATACTGAGTATATTTTATCTATATGTTTTACTATGTGATTTAGTGCCATATCGAGAGACCAAAATAAGGTACAGCATTTGACATATTCAGGTATTTTGTATGTATGCATGCGCACACTGTATACCTAAGCATTATCTGCTTGTATCTCGCACAACTCAATAAAGCGTAAGTGGCAATAGATGTGAATTGACTCCAGCTTTAATTCTTAATTTCTGTCATATCCAGAGGTTTAAGATCTGCAAGCTGCACCACTGCACTGCTTTAACAGTTGACCAAATTGGATTTATTTGGCCTCTGTAGACCATCAACCGTACAAATTGTTCATAAAACATTTTTATAATGCATTTCTGTTCACCATTTCTGAAATGACATTACAAAAGAAAAATAGTGAGATGTAACCATGCTTAAAAATCTTGACTTTCTTCATAATGAAATTTGTACACAGTAAATTTACAGTGTTAATTTATTTTATTATTTTTTTTTTGTTTCTGATTGAAAAGTCATTTGGAATAAAAAAATAAAACATTTTTATGTATACATTTTATTTCATTAAAACATACAAGTATAATTCCAGGAAATATTTCTAAGAACTAAACAATTGTGAACAAGTACATGCAATTTCGATATATTTTTAGAACAAGAGCTATGATAAAACTCTTAACTATTTTTCAGATATATAGTATAGCATGTTTAACGTACTGATTATATCTCTATTACATAAATACAAATATAACATTCTTCAAACTGTTTAGCTGCCTTTGAAGAAAAATAAACTGACTTGCTGCCTATGAAGTTCTTTACCTTTAATTTATTAAAATAGGCTTATGATTTTATCCTATCTGTTACTTTTTAAAGTTAAATAATTATACTGGAAAAATGCAAACTGCTGCTTTGGTTTGTGCATATCTGTTGACAAAACTTGATCCTACGTCCCTTACCCTACACATACAAAATTATAACAAGGTTCATTTATAACCTTATAGGTTGGCATTTGTCCTTTGGAATATTTGTCTTCAAGTTTTACATTTGTACCCAACATGAGTTAAACCACTTTTTTTAACTAGGTAACTAATACTGTGTCTACACCATCACCTCCTAAATATGGCAAGTTACTTTAACCTCATTCAACCCGTTTAAATCCACATGACATCGGGTTGGAAAAAGGTAATGCTGCTGGTACATGCTTATTTATTAAACATCTTTTGTCCATTTATTGGCATTCCCTTGTTTCTATGGCTTTTGTGTTGAAAATGACATCAGATGAAAAGTAAAATTACTTCTGCTAACAATTGGGTTTCAATAAATATGTAATTTTATTGTTTATTTGTTCTGTGTTCTACTTGTTGCTTAATTTTACTCCCAGCTATCCTGACACAACATTTGCCTTTTCCTTAGAGGTCTGCATTTCCTAGAGGTCATGGTCGGCAACACTCTGCTGCAGGTATTCCTGGTAGAGGGATTGCTGAAAATACATAACGTTTTCATCCATAAAATCCTAAAAAGGCATAATTATTTCATCTTTGATAAAGTACTTGATATTGATATTAAGACAACGATATAATGATTTATAGTAAATTACTTCACAGTGGAAAACAAGTAAGTAACAATCATATGTCCTATAGCATCCATACCTTCTTGGTCTTTATCATGTTTTGCACGTAATCTCTCTTTTCCATAAGAGCCTTCTTTTGCTTTCTATTAAGAGTTGGCTTCAATCTGTGAAATAAAAATGTCAAAGCCTATTAAATCTTTTGATATTAAATACAATTGCAATTTTATCATTTTAAATACATTTTTCTAATCAAATAAAAGACACACCCTTTTAATTCCATATTGTGCTACAATAATGACTAAATATGCTAAATATGTGATTGATTTCAGAGTGACAATGGCATACCCATACTTGCTTACCACGATTCAGATGCTTCTAATATAATACTCATAAGTACCACACATCTAAAAGCATTTTTTTCTTTTGTTTGTCCAAAGCTTCTAAGTCCATGTGTTATCATTTGATTACCTTGACTTGAGTTTGGCCACAATCAGCAACACGAGGGAGATGAACAAGAAGAATCCCCAGGTATGGTAGTGGTAAGCTTTGGGTATCACATCCCACATTCCTTTAATAGGAGCCTGAATAATAAGAAAAGGCGTGGTTAAGCTAAATAAGAGAGTAAACAACATTTCTTTTTAAATAACTGTGCATTTTTCCCATTATGATGAAGCAGCTATCAGACCTTTACAGCCAACATCTGAGCGATGGCAGCTGGACTGATATTGTCTGTTGCAAGTGACTCATATTTATAACATCAACAAGGGATTACCACTCAAACAATTTTATCAAATATGTTGCTCACATCAAATTACCATATCAGACATATAGACAGACTCAATGTCACTGGTTATTTGTTAGTTGGTCACTTGTCCATAAAATGTTGCAAGCAAACAAATGGGCAAGCTAGCTATCAGCTCAAATGGTTATCTGCGTTGACCTCTGATGTGTTGGTTCAGTTTTCAAATTTGGTGGTTCAAACCACAACTCTTTTTCAATGACAATTAATTTATTTTGTGTGCTTTAACACTACTTTACGCTACAGCCACAAATTTTAATAATTTGCATAAGAGATAACATATGGACTGTATAAGCCAAAGGTGTTCCATAATGACTCTTAATCAGCCTTGGATGCCCAGGTGCCACCTGTTATCTTAGCAACTGGCACACTGCCGCTTCCTGTTCAGTTGCCTAGGCATCTTCAAATAATTTAATTACACACACACATCTTTAAAGAATTAAACCTAACACCCCCACCTTGAGAGAGAGAGAGAGAGAGAGAGAGAGAGAGAGAGAGAGAGAGAGAGTGAGTGTCTCATTAAGCCACTTTTACCATGTAAAGCTGCAGGGTTTCTGCTCCTGATCTTCCAAGGGTGCTCACAAGAATGTCTTTGCCAAGATTGCTGGCCAACAAGTTAATCAGCAATAACAGTGGCAAAATAAAGCCAACTAATCCCAGCAGACAGCCTTTTCCTCTAGCGCTGAAGTTGTGAGAACTTGCAGCACTGAAACAATGTTATTATATTTAATTTGTTAGATAAAAGTACATGTGTCCTGCCAAAATAAGTATGTTGCCAAAATAAGTACACCTCAGATGTGTATAACTGCCAAATGAAATGAAACTTCATACACATTTTCAAAAGGTACACCAAAATAATTATTTGAAATTTAAAACAAATTTGAGGGATATGATGACTAAGATGGTATAAAAATGACAATTTTTCAATGAGGAACCATCTTTTTTGCACAACTGCATATTTGGCAAGCACAATGTTTAAATTGTACTCATGCCACCACTTTGATTTTCACTACTTCATACCCATTATTTCTAGGTTCACTTATAATATTTTAAATGTTCTGAAATAAAAATTTGCCCAAAACTACATTTTGCTGCTTTTCATTTTTGTTAATTATCAGACATATGTATTTTAGAAAACTTCTACTTTGGCATGACACATGAACAAAAGTTGAGAAAAGAGCAAAGGCACCTATGTATCATTTGAAAGCACACAATTTCTGAGTCACAAAAATTTACTTGGTTNCATTGACCTCTGGTGTGTTGGTTCAGTTTTCAAATTTGGTGGTTCAAACCACAACTCTTTTTCAATGACAATTAATTTATTTTGTGTGCTTTTACACTACTTTACGCTACAGCCACAAATTTTAATAATTTGCATAAGAGATAACATATGGACTGTATAAGCCAAAGGTGTTCCATAATGACTCTTAATCAGCCTTGGATGCCCAGGTGCCACCTGTTATCTTAGCAACTGGCACACTGCCGCTTCCTGTTCAGTTGCCTAGGCATCTTCAAATAATTTAATTACACACACACATCTTTAAAGAATTAAACCTAACACCCCCACCTTGAGAGAGAGAGAGAGAGAGCGAGAGAGTGAGAGAGAGAGAGAGAGAGAGGGGTCTCATTAAGCCACTTTTACCATGTAAAGCTGCAGGGTTTCTGCTCCTGATCTTCCAAGGGTGCTCACAAGAATGTCTTTGCCAAGATTGCTGGCCAACAAGTTAATCAGCAATAACAGTGGCAAAATAAAGCCAAGTAATCCCAGCAGACAGCCTTTTCCTCTAGCGCTGAAGTTGTGAGAACTTGCAGCACTGAAACAATGTCATTATATTTAATTTGTTAGATAAAAGTACATGTGTCCTGCCAAAATAAGTATGTTGCCAAAATAAGTACACCTCAGATGTGTATAACTGCCAAATGAAATGAAACTTCATACACATTTTCAAAAGGTACACCAAAATAATTATTTGAAATTTAAAACAAATTTGAGGGATATGATGACTAAGATGGTATAAAAATGACAATTTTTCAATGAGGAACCATCTTTTTTGCACAACTGCATATTTGGCAAGCACAATGTTTAAATTGTACTCATGCCACCACTTTGATTTTCACTACTTCATACCCATTATTTCTAGGTTCACTTATAATATTTTAAATGTTCTGAAATAAAAATTTGCCCAAAACTACATTTTGCTGCTTTTCATTTTTGTTAATTATCAGACATATGTATTTTAGAAGACTTCTACTTTGGCATGACACATGAACAAAAGTTGAGAAAAGAGCAAAGGCACCTATGTATCATTTGAAAGCACACAATTTCTGAGTCACAAAAATTTATACCCCGTTCACACTACGCTCAGTTATCCGGATAAGTTGCGAATTAGGTCACAATTCGAATAAATGCAGTAGTGTGAACGCAAGAGGATTTTGAAAATGCGCATTTTCAAAATCCTGCAAGCGAGGTGGATTTCTAAGCGCGATCCGGATAACTTACCGGAATCGACACCTGTACAGATCTTACTGCGCATGTGTGCAGATAAGTGCGGGTATCTATGAACGCTGGTTTATTACTTTAGCGATTGCACCAAACGTATTTGGAGGTCACCACTCACTACAACATGAGGAAACAAACTTATTTTGCCACCTTATACTTCTCAAGAATGCTGGAATGTCTTTTGAGTTGCATTTGTCGTCACAAATTTTTGTTGATATTTTAAGATTTCCTGTGCGGCGCATGCGCGAGTGTTCAAAACAGGAAGTTA